TATATCACTGAAACACTTTTGCGAGCATCGATGCGTTCGTATTTCTCCTTGTCTTACGGGAAAGGCAAATTTCTTGATTGGAAATGCAAAGCAAAAACCCTCATCTCTGAATCAACTTCGTTAATTTTGTTTCATCGTAAGTAAAACTGGAAGTGTACAGACGCGCCTAAAAAAACAGAACGACGCCCAGTGCTCGTTACGGCTGTTTTAATTAATTTCCTCCTCGCGAGACACTGTCCCGGCGAAACGGAAAAGCGCACGGTTGCAGTAGTACGGTCGACGATATAAGCGCAGCGTTTGACTCTGAATCGCTAATTCTCCTAGCGAGTACCGGGACGGTCAAGCATCCCATTCCCGTCTGGGTTCTCGTTACGTATGGACCGTGTTAAACAGTTCTATAAGATTATAAATGGAAAAGTTAAAGTTCCATTCTTACTAGTCTGCGAGACACGCGAATCACGTCTCCTTCGTTAGGTTCAGGTGATAGAGTTTGGACCTTGAATCGGTCCAATTGGTCAACCAATTCGGAAGCGCGCATTCTATTTTGAGAGTTGCAGGCGTTCCTTGCACGGCGTAACACGGGCCAACGAGATCGAAAGGAAATCTAACGCTTCGAACTCGACAGCTTCGCCGCGGATCGATACCTTGTCGATTACGCGTACCCTTTGGCGACATGTTTCCTCTGGCGCGCACGTACGCTCGTGCTGTCGAGGAATCGGCGCGTATATATGTACGTGGACTCCACGGTAGGAGCAATCGTACTGCGCGATGCAGCGGAGATGGGCGTGATTGGTACGGTATTGTGCGCCTGAACCAACGGAGAAATTAACCATGATCCAGATCAAACGATCCTAACGGTGTGCACGCGTGCTAGCGAAATCCGAAGCGGTGCAGCGGTATCGCGCTGCTGCATTGCAGCTAACTTCGGGATTCGAGTATGGGAAATGTATTCGTATTTATGTAGGCGCTTAAGTCGGATTAGCCGGGCGAAACGCGAGGATAATCGCGGTCGGCGGTATCGATCTTGGCCGCCCGACCTTGTTTAAACCCACTCGAATTAACGAAAGCAACTCCCGCCGATCGCGCGTTAAAACAGATCAGCAGTCGGTGTCATTGACCTCGGGCATTCCGATGAACCTTTCGATAGAGCTTTCCGCAAACACGATCGCGCAGTCGCGATTACCGTCGACACGAGCGTGCGTTCGTTGCGTCAAAAATTGGGGATGAACGTCGAAATTCACTGGCGAACACCGAAACAATAAGATTTGTTTACGTTGATTATTTGACATTTTTTTTTTTATTTTCTCCATCGTCTTATCACCGGAATAGAAATTTTCGATTGCTTTGAAACTCGATTAAGACCGAGCTCACCCTCGAACGGGTTTCTTGAAATCTGTGCGCAAATTAAATTCGCTACGTCTCCTCTTCTGGTCGATACGTAATCGTTTAAAATCTACAGCCGAAGCAGTCTTTGCCAAGGGATATCCAAGACCAAGAAAATTGATATCCGACCGTCAGTTACCACTTCGCGAGTCTTCGTGAGAGCGAATCGGATTCAAGTTGAAATCCGAGGTCAGCTTCCTATTCGAGACGAGCTCCGAAGGGGAGTTTAAATTTCATATGGATCCGCGTGCCTAATTAGAGAATTGCGGCCGACGTTGCCAATTTCCAGTCTCGACGCGTTCCAGAAAGGAAGCTCGGTTTTCCCGATAGATTTCGTCGTTACCCAAATTCCTGCGCAGGGAAATCGGAAACGATTCGTCTTGTTCTCGCGGAACGGGGTCATTTTCAGGTCCGTTGCATTCGGACTCATCGCGGGAGCGAAAAAATTGTGAAAATAGGGCGGCATTTTGCTTGACCAATAAGAAATAGAACTCCCGCTTTCAACGTCAAAGTCCTCGGACTGCTGACCTTCTTCATACAAAGGTAGGAAATGGTGGTAGCTCGTCACCGAAAAGAATACCGAGTTATACATTTTTACGCGATGCGCCATGGACGCAATAACTTTGCCGTCTGGCATCAAATAGAAAAATGAAATCTCTCTTCCCGCAAGCTAGACCAATCCAATTGCAACAAGTAAATACAGAATACCGATAACCAACGCCGAGAAGAATACCCATCGGCTTCCATTCTGCTCTTCGTTAATTAAAAGACAATACCTCAAAAGAAGCTCTAGAGCGCGATACAAGTATCGGACACATGGCTACACTCGCGACGGCATCGCGCTTCTTTCTTTTCCTTCGATCGGCGAGGTTAGCACGGGCGACTCGTACCTGGTCGTTCTATCAAGAAAAGCGCGAACGTTGATCGAGCTACAGCAGTTAATACGTCTGTGTGCCGGGGGATGATAATACCGGGCCGCGGCACGGCACCGTAACCGTGCTCTGTAATTAATCAGAAGCGCGAGGTGCGAGGAGAGGCGAGGCGCGAGGCGAGAATACAGGGCTGCTCCCTGCAACGCGGCGCACCGTTTACACACTCGATGCACCCGGCTGCAATACGCGCGCATAGCACGCCAGCACGCTCCAACAATCGGATACGCTGCGTACGCTAGAGTCCCGGAAAAGAGAACGGGGTGCCGAGTGTATGAACGCGGCATAAATGGCGCCGGTGCATAATCGCGGACTAGCACAGGTGTATCGTGCCCTGTAGAATGGAGGAAGCGACCCGCGTAACCGTCGCACGGTCATACGTGCGTAATGGAATGCACCGCCGCGTCGCGCCGCTTCGAAGGTGCTCGCGGGGGGTGGTCGTTGGAACCCTTCAAAGGATTTTCCTTCGACGCGGTCGGGCTACCGATGTTCCTCGTGTTTCGGTTAAATGGCGCGGTTGACGCGACGCGGAATGGAAAATGTTTCCGTGGAAATGGACAAAATACCCTGGCGAGTTTAATAACGTAACCACCCCACGATGGGATGTTCTTTGCACTCGAAGCACTCCTTTCTGATACACCTATAATACACCGCACCGAAGATCAAACGGGAGAAAAGACAGACGCCCCCAAAGGCAAGAATATAAGAGTACTATTAGACAGGCACAGGGGTCAACGCGACGAGAAGAACGTCGGTCGAAGTCGCGCAGTTGCTGGGTTTCGCAATATTTGAAATTTTCCGTGACACGGCGCAATGCAAGACAAATAGACGCTCGTAAATAATTACATTGTGTTTGCGGAAAGCGGAGAGAGACAACGGATGTACTATTGCGGCGAGGACGTTGTCGGTGTGTAATTGTCTGCCAACGTGGTTATCCGTTGGTTACACAACACCGGAAGCAGCTCGTACAAGTGCATCGAACTTCTGTTCGTTACGCAATTATTGAAAGTTCGCGGAGAAACGTAAACCGCGAGCGATTATCGAACCCCCTATGTACAGTAAATGTACAAACACTCGAGGAAAAAGTCATTGTTAATGGCCTGCGTAGAGCGGTACTCCCGTTCGATCGTGCCTCGACTCGGAGTTTTCTTGCAGGGATGAAAATAATCCCGGAGCCTCGAGCGAGACGGCTGCAAACAAGTTTTAGCTCTGAATTTAACCGTGATTAATTAAGCTCCGTCGACTCGCGTTTGACAGCTACGCCGCTGGACAGAATTATAGGTTTTGCACGAATTTTCATTGGAAATTGTTCCTCTCAACAGATATCGATCTAAGATTCTAGACACTCGCAAAAATAAATACTGAACTCGTTGAGAACAAATGTTATTCCACGCCTTTCTGTAACTTTCTTTGCGAACGTTTAGTTGCAAAGGACCCTACTCGTACGAACGGTAATAACAGTTTCTCGATGGCGCACGGAACGCAAAAGACCAGCTCCATCTCGCGATACGGCAAACGTTGACGGGTAATCGTAAAGCGTGCACAGGAACGAGGGAAGGGACAATCTAGTTAAGTATTATGAAATCTCATCCGATCGAGCCGTAAATACAATGAAGAGACCGTTACCTTTACGCGAGTAAAATGCTTTATAACCTTTCTGCGACGAGGCTCGCTACTTTAACCATATTTTCCATCGTCGTCGTTCGATGCTCGACGTACATAGAACGGGAAGGACGCCTGGGGGAATAGCAGATGCACCGCTGCATCCGATGCACGCAATACGTGTAGAACATTTTGCATCATGAATGTATCGGGCGAGCGTACGCAGCTACGTCGAACAGGGTTTGCGAGGTATATAAATGTAACGTAGATGGCGAGTCCGCAGTTGGGAAACTGGTGGCACAGGTGCATCGTGCTCGTAGAACGCAGGAAGCGACCGGAGGTAAACGTCTTTCCGGCAGCTGCGGACGTGTAACTTCCCTGGATGCGATACCGAGCAGTGTCGGTACACTCTTCTCGGTCCACCGAATTCACACGTATCGACTTTCAGGTTATCAAACCACCGTTCGTATATAATGAAGCGGGACCCTCCGCGCCTTTCTGTCCTCGCCTCGTTTCCTATGCACGTTTTGTCCTCCACCACAGCCACCTCCGCACCCAGGCTAAAAAACACCACTCGCTGAATTGTGTTCCCGTGCTCACACGGGAACACCGCTCTTCAACGCCAGTGGTACCAGCTGCGCCAGAGACGTTGCTCTATCAATTTTTCTCGTTCGAGAGAGAGGCATAACGAGAGAAACCGCCGACGCGAGATACCAGGGTGTGGAGAAAACGGGGCCTGGAACCGGGGTGGAAACGATAAGAGTGGCGAGAGATCCTTGTCGAAATTCTCGCCTTCTCGTTAAACTTCTCAGGCTACGTTCTTTTGTGTACTCGCGATGTTGACCTCCTCGAACTCACTGAGAAAATTAATTCTCCTCGGTTTCGCGCGATTTGGCGATCGGCAGGTGTTTTATCGAAGAAATACTTTGGGGAAAAGGAACGGGAGTCTAGATCGCGTTGGACGGTCCTCTAACGTTGAGGAAAGTAACACGTTTTAAGACTGCTTGGGAAGCGTACCGTCGATCACTTTCGGTAATATCGACGACGTCGCCTTTAAACGTGACACGCTTGCGATCCATGTTTCAGGAAGGGGAGTGGTGCTGGATAGTCAGGGTCCGGTGTTGAAGACAGAGCCACACTCGTCGATCAAATTCTCGAACGAGACCGGGACGATAATCCATTGTTCGGCACAAGGTAGTCCCTCGCCGAGGATCGATTGGCTTATGGGAGACGGGTCACCTGTGCTCTCTATACCGCACATCCGTGAGATTCTGGTAAACGGCTCGATGTACTTCTTGCCGTTCGGAGCGGAGAGCTACCGACACGACGTCCACTCAGCCGTCTACAGATGTCAAGCCTCGAACAGCGTCGGCAGGGTGCTGGGCCGTGAAATTACGGTAAAGGCCGGTGAGTACCTTTATTTCACCTCTTCCGATCGATCGACTCTTTCTCTTTCTCTTTCGTCCCCCGAACGAGACGTCTCCTCGCGCAAGGGTCATTCCACGCCAAATCACCCTTACACTCGATGTCGGACATTTCCTCGAATTGAAATATATTAGGCAGAACAGAAATATATTAGAAATATATATATATATACAGTACGCGTACCAATAGACAGAGTATAGGTCATCGTTTCGCTGTTATTGAAGTCGGTTAACCCTTAAATACCCGAAGTTTCAAATTTGACACCGGACTTTTAAATTGAATTGTACACGTGTAATTGGTTTGTTTTTAATATATGGCTGTATGTATATTACCGTGACATAATGTTCTTTAGATTTTTTTTAATTCGGAAAATCAGGCTTCCAAGGGTTAAAGAATACAAATATTGTCAACGTGTCTAAACATGGCACAGACAAACACGTTAGGAAAATGTACTCGCAGCGCGTACACAACGAACGATCCAATTGTGGGAGAGAAGAATCGCTCGCATTTGTCGCATTCGGAGCGTCGGGCACAACTCGTCCACGGAGAAACATACAGAACTGTACAGAAAAAGCGTCGTTCTCGTGTTTCGGGCTATACCGTGTACGTAATTCGACGAAAAATCCCGGAGACCGTCATTTCCGGAGTATTATCGTTACTCGCAATTATGGCATTGAAAGCGGCATGCATTTCTACGAGTGCGAATTTAGCAGCGTCGCACTTAGAGGCCCGACGCGGGGACATCAGCGTCGAATACTTACCGCTTCGTCGCGATCTCTCGTTTTCTCGCCGCATAAAAATCGGCAGTTTCGTGTTACGATGTTCTAAACCGGGAGAGAGGGCAGAGGGGAAAAAGTACGCTAGGGAAACGATCGCGAGTCGAGCAGAGCCGAGCCAACTACATTTGTCGTCGTCTCGGTTCGTCCCTCGACCACGCCGCACATGCACGGCCTTAAAACTCGCGCTCGCTTATGGCTAACAAGCGGCACTCACTGCCAAGATCAAGATTCGCGGTCTCTCGCGCTCTGCCAAGTACTTTCACCCACATTTTCGTACCGACGAGCGTGAACGTTCCATCTCGTTCCAGTTTGCGAGGGTGACGCGAAGCGCACCCCTTCGAAACCAAACGCGACGAACAACTGAAGCGTGCGGAGACTCTTTTCCCTTCTCGGCGTATAGTTAAATAAACGGGCCTAATTCGGACAGCTGTTACGTAACGGTCAGCTCGACAGGAAAATCGGTAGCCAACTCACGCAACAGTAATTAGTTCTGTCAGTATCGCATTTGAAACCATGACGACGATATCCGATTACATACAACGTCGTTTCGTGGAACAAGAACGAGTTCCGACTGGCGCGGAATGTGTCGATAATTGGGACGTTTACCTCGTCGCGATCTCCACACGACGCGGCGTCCTGCCAGGAATCACTTATCGCGTTTAGCGGTTCTCGAATAACCGCGGCGAGCGTCCGCTGTTGAAAAAGGAATCCTACTTTTGATCTACGCGGAGCGACTGGATTACGCGAGACTGGAAACTCGAGAGGTAGCCACTAATTGCCGAAAGCACGGCTCGCAGACAGTGTGAAAAAACCTCGTTGTTCGCGAATGGAATAACGAGCTTCCGATGGAAAATGTCTAGTGCGCGTTATCGGGATTCAACGGCGCGGCGGACGATGGATTTGTGTTGAAATTCGCAGGGACGAATCGAGACGCGCCCCGCTTCATGATTAGTCGATCAACATGGTCTGGTAATAACGTAATAAGGAAAATAGCGATTAAAAATATTGGAAGAACCGTGATCCATCTTGCTCGCGTAATAATTAATTGCGAGGAGAAGTTAATAGTCTTGGCGAGCACACGGATACATCGTTTAATCGTTTTGGATTACGGTAGGGAGAGGAAACTAAAAACTGATAGAATATGTTCGTTACGTGACTAATCACATCCTTTCATTGATTCACATGCAACGTTAAGAATTTATGGATTAAATTTTTTTCAATTTACATTCTGTTTCATTAAATGACATCGTTTCTACAGTGTCGAGTATCGTCTCTTTACCCATTCAATATTCAAAGAGATCACGAGCGTATTCTCTCCTTGTTCCTTTCTCGCCTAACCGATTTCAATCTTATTTGCAGTTGTGCGTCAGAAGTACGAGGTCAAAGTGAGAGACGTCTACGTCCTGCCAGGAAATACCGGTGTGCTCAGGTGTGAAATACCAACGTTCGTTAAAGAATACGTCGCTGTAACGTCCTGGGTTCAGGATTCCACCTACAACATCTACCCCACAACGAAGATCGGTGAGTGAAATTGCTATAAGTATGCGCGATATTTATGGGATGGAAACGTCGCGTGATTACTCGACGACAACCACGGCTTAACGAGCGGAGAACGATTCGTTGCATTCCGAACGCGTAACTCGATTCTATTTATTCAAAAAAAAAAAAAAAAAAAAAAAATAAAATAAAACCCTGTCTCGTGGTTACATTACCGAGCTTTTTGCGCGTCCATCCCCCTGTCGCGACGGTAGGACGATAAAAATAGCGCAACGATAAAAACGAAAGGTACCTGATAAATTGGCGGCACCTCTCTTTGAACGTTTTCCCCTTGATTGTACGATATCGAGATTGATGCGTGCGGAACAAAAAAGGCATCTGCATACGCGCGGAACGCCAATATATACGTTGGTCCGGTCAATATCCGAGTTAATTAGAGTCTGAGGGGACGATTCGAGTATCCGCGTACACACGTAATCGCGTCTGCCCGTTCTAAACCCCGCGCGAACCGTACCAAGGGTGGGTTGGGTAAAACTGGGTAGACGGGTCAAATCGAGTACCCCTGCTACTCCGTAATGAGTTATTGTGATCTGTGACCACCGCCAAGTACTCCCTCTAGATCTCCTCTAAGATGAATCGCAATTTGTAGCAGATCACGAGCGTTTGAAAACAAAGTTCAGATTGCGTTGCGTTTTGTGAAGTCAGACATTGTCCGGCAACCATCGGTGCTTCAACTTTTATCAGACGTTTTTTGGTAAACTGAAACGTCGGCGTCGGGTGAAAATCCCATTTCAACGGTCTACCGCTCAAACGAACGTTGATCGAATGCGATGTACGATAAGTTGTACTTTTATCTCTCGCGCGTCTCGACACTTCCTTTTCGGTAGAAGAAAATTTCACCGCCCAAATGAACGTCTTCTCTGAAACTTTCCTAACTTCTTTCCTTCCGACGCCGTAATGGTCGCATTGTGTCGTCCGAACAACTCGCCGGTTTCGAGCCAGTGAGGTCTTGCACGAAACTTGACGCATTGTTAAGCGTCGCAGTCTTTCGATCGGCAACGTGGCTGGTGTCTGCCTTCACCGATCCTTTCCCCAGACTTGGCAGTTTGTGCTCTTTACATGTCGGTCCTGTATTTGTTTATATACAAAGAAAGGTGCTTAGATGTTTTGCGTTTGTGAGACTGAGAACACCCTGTAGACGCTGGACGCAGTACGGCGTTCTGACGTGTTACGTTTAAGTTCGCGTTGTAAGTTTTATTTAAGCGTAAAATTTATATTCCGGTCGGCGTCATCATAAATACGCGTTCCCAAATTGTAAGCGTTTAGGTTTAACAACATTTGGCGACCAGATGTGCGACCAGATTCCGCTAGCTGTTTACAAACAATAGAGTTACCGTTTCCTTCCTCACCCGACTCCTCAATTCCTGTAACCGAATATTTCAACCAATCACAAACAAATTTCCATTTCCACCCGACCACTTTTTCTACCACCTTCGAGTCCTCGAGCGTGACATTCTTCAAGGAAAATTTCTATCAGTGTATCCTCATATTCATTTACCAAGATCATTGAGAGCGCGGTAGTACGTGTACCACTTCGGTAACGCTCGCGAGGAGTGCGCGTACGGAACAGACGCGTCTCGTGAAAAACTTTACATTAACATTAAACTCGTAATACGTATACTAATTCGGCTCAAGGAAATATTGTTTTAATGTAGTGAAATCCAGTATTTTTATTATTGAAATATGTGTCGACAAAAGTGCTTCTCTACCTAAAAGTTCGCCATTCTCGGCGCACATCGTAACTCGATTCCTGCCGTCTGCTACGGCCGGTGCGTATCAAAGTCTGCCGTCGTCAAAGGGTTGAGAGGTAAGTTTTAAAGAAATATTCTTCGTAAAAAGATTGAAGCGTACCGAATACTTAATGCTTCAACGCCGATGCATACTGCATGGCAAGGAAAATATATTTATTCGTAGATTTATAAATTATTCCCAATATTCCATCAAAAATGATATCGGAAGTCAGCATTCGCGGCACGCGAGGCGCACTCTGCGACCACCGCCGCGTCCCCTTTTCTTCTCTTTTCGCAAGTTATTCCGAAGCCTCCTCTAAAAACTTGATCCGAGTTAGTCGTTCTTCGTCCTCTTCGCCGCCTTTCGATCGGATTGTACCGAATAAACGGGAACTTTCTCGCATGGACGGACTGATCTGTGCGAAACTAAAACTTTTCCGAGTGATTCGTTTTCCATTCAGATCCGCGCCACGCCGCGCTCTTCGATTCCCGCTCTTGTCCACCCGTTTCCTCTTCAATCGTAAGATTGGATTTTACTCCGCGAACCGTCGGGACTTTGAACGTAGACTTTGCGCGCCGCACTATGGACGCAAATGATGCTTTTCGTGTCAATATCGCACAACTTTCGATCCAAGCGAAATTATAAAAAACCTCTTTTCAAGAAGAAAGGACCGTTAAACGAGACATTCCGTGTACCGTTTACTTTCAATGTTGAACTACCGTTAGAGCGACTAAATCTTTAATCGTATCGCGCGTTCAGTCGACTAGTTGAGAAGAATTAGTCGATGAATTCCTAACTCCGGCGATACAGCGTACCGACAGTTTTCCTCGGATTAAAGTTCAACGAACAACCGACGGCCAACCCAGATGCACGAGGAGCACAGCTCAAACGCAAAGCGTCCAGCCGCAATGCAAATTCGCCCTGGGTGATCATCGTCGTGTGTACCGAAATCCCCGAACTATCTTCCAGTTCGTAGTACCCTGGATGAATCCTTCCATCCAACTACGCGTTTCCTCTGTCGACGTTGTAACACCTCTAATATCGTCTCTCCTTCTCTCACTGCCATTCCTTCCTACTCTCGTTGCCCCTTGGCCCATTTTCTCGCTCTTTATCCGTTCCTCGCGTGCTTAATGAGCCATGTGTTCCGAGAGTCTCTTAATTCGAGTGGATCCCATGCAAAAACCGGTTACAAAGATGTAATTACCCCGATAGATCCGTACTACGTCGACGGTCGACATCAGAATGCACGGTCAAATCAGAGAGTCATGACACCTCGCAGAGTTTGGCGAAATTGCATTTTTTTTAAATTGCCAAGGTTGCGTGACTCATTATACGCGCTCGTTTCGATCGCTCGTTAAACCAATCGGAGGTGTTTTCGCCATTCGTCGGTCCATCGATATTTCGCCACTCGCAAATCGAAGCGAAAACGGTTCACGGTATTCGTTGTTTATAGGTTGAGTGTAAGCGTGAACCGATGGTGAAACGATATCGGGGCGATGACAGCTTCGGGCTGTTTTCAGTCACAGCACTCGCAAGTTTGAACGACTTCCCGATCTAGCAAACCGTTGGTCACTCGTAGGCTGGTAACTTTCCCGTACCAATAACAAATCCGCGTTTGACACCTCGGTTCGTCAAATATGCCCTAATTAATTTTTTATTTGCCGCAACTTAATCGTTGAGTCTTTTGAATCGTATCGACGATTCTATCGTCGCGCATTTTTCATTTTAACGACAAAGTGAACGGGATGTGACACTTTGCAGCTCGTGCAGCTTGAAACCAAAGTTTTCCTCCTCCGACGTGGAAACTTTTCTGAAATCGCCGAGGAATAACGCGAAAGCGTAAACAAAAAAAAATTGCGAAGAACGAACGCTGTCTAACAGATATCGATTTATCGCTCTTACAAGAATGAGAGAACTCTACCAACAGTTTTCAACAACGTTCATCGCTCCTGGTATTTTACGGGGCTGTTCGCGCAAAAATACGATATTTTTGACGATATGAAAAGTAGGCTACACTCGCTGCACCTGCAAGAAATATTCGGGCGGAGTTTTAACAACTTAAGCGCGAACCTAGTCCCTTCCAGATCCTGTAACAAAAGGAAAAAGTCAAAGTCAAATACTGCATTTGATGTCGACATTCGTTAACAAAAACCAGCGTAGGTTTCGAGTACATTCATCACATTTTTTTTATTCGTATCGTACTTATTTGCAAAGGACTGGTAAATCTCTACGGACAACGTTCTCTACCGTTACACTCCAGACGAGTTATTTGCACTTTTCTTTCCGCGAGTCCACCGAAACAATGGCACCTCCGGCTGTTAATCAGTACGGCCGGTGTCCGTGGGATTCCGATGAAAAGGCTGGTCGAACGAAACCTTTCGCGAGTCGAAAAAGATTTATACGACGAAAGTTCATTCGATTTAAAGCATTCCACCATCGAGATTCATATCCCCGATAAACGAATGACGAGACGCGAAAGGAGAGCGCGTTTCGAAAATCCCTGAGTGATTTATTACGTAGCTCTCTTCGAAGAAGATTTGCACGTGGGAGTAGAACGAACTTTCTTTAAAACCGAGTACCTGCGCTTTGTATGTCGCAGGGAAGCGAGTCTAAAAATTCCTGCAGTAATCGAACCGTTGAAATTTTTAAATATTTCGTTCGAATACAATATTTGTTCTGTATATTCATAGAAATGTGGTTAAAAAATTCATAAAAATCACATTTTTGAAACTGTTACACTGGAATCCCCCTTAATATATGCATGAGACGTTTAGCCTTGCTCGCGTGAAAATAATTGTAGTCATTCCATCAAGGAACGCGTGTATAATCAACATTGCGGAATTCCGTATTCTACTCATTTCATCCGAGTACGAAGGTTCAATTACAAATGGCAACTCCGCTAACTAATTTAATTAACGGCAAACGCTAACGCAAATATAACTGACGCTGGAAAGTCACACACATTCGCGGACTCTTGTTTTGACCGGATGAAATCGTGAATTAGACAGAATTCACGTTGCTATTACGTTCGTGCTACAACTGCAACGCTATCGCTTCGCCGCTTCACCCGTAACGCAATTATCGCCGAAACTTTGATGTAACATTGGGTAAAGGAAGACAGAGAATTATATCGCGTTAGGGAATAAAGTCTGGTCACATTTCACGCAGATAATCGGAATCAGAAAATTGCCGATGAAAGAGCAAAGCGAGAGCGACGAAGCCAAAAGTACAACGCTCAGCCAGGAGTCGATTCGCGGTTGGAGAAGTTCGCCGTCGAACGGAATGTAACAGGCCTTGCTCTCCAACCCAATATTATCCAACTGTTTGTTCGCGTCTCGATACGTCCCGGCAGTACGTTAACACGAACGCCAGTCCAAGCTTCTCTAATATCGAAACAATACGCGTTCACCTACCATTTCCGCCAGGATTAAATGCTCGAGCGGCTAAAAGCGCACCGCGTGCTATTCGCTCGCCCGCCATTGTACTCTCAATTTCGCGTCCCGGGCTGAAAAATAAAACACTCCGGACTCCGTACGAGCGTGTCCCTTTCTTGGAACCGGTGCTTTCAGAATTATTACATCGGCTAAATGGCATTTCAGCTCGTTAATGGGTATTAAAAAATGTTTCATTTGACCCTGCCGGAAATCCGTTATCTCCATTCATCCGTATTTTCATTCCGCGAGAGCGCCGGCACGTCCCGGACCAGGGAGCGCGATCCGCCAAGTCTTGCAGCGAGATTAAATCCCGCGTAATCGGTTGCTCTCTCTGTCTATGGCGTCCCTTTTCGGGTAAAGAGCACTCGGTACCATGGCGCAGTCGGGCTCCTATTCTGCCGGTCTGCACGCCGCGGCTTATTCGAGCATATTATTCCGCGTGTACGTGCAAAAATATTCGCGTGGCCGAACGCTGGTTAAATCCTGCGCCATCAGCCAAATAGACGTCTGTCATTTTCCCTGGCGCTCTCGCGGGTGCGTTGGATGCCACGCGCCCTCCGACGTAGTCCATTACGCTTATTAGCGTGAAGCCAAACTCCAATCGTTGCGGCCAAAACGAAGTTTTCCCCGCGATTGCTGGGGGAAAGATTTTCGTACCGGTCTATCCTCGAGTTCAATGCCACATCCGGGTTGGAAGGTTGCAAGGACGCGATTTCATTCTCCAAGTACTACGGAGTTGTTGATAAATTACCGTCGCGACTTTCGTTGTCCAAAAAAACTTTTTTTCTCGCCAAATAGCTTTTTCTCTACATACATTTTTCAAAGAATTAGAAACTCGTTTTCACGAAATTTGGGTCAAGGGACAAAATATCGCGCGTGACGTAAACTCTGCTTCCACCCGACCAACAGCCATCGCTATTCAGCCTATTTTCAGGGAGGGCTGAACTATTTTATCGAACGTTTTACTTTTCATTAAAGTTTCTCGGTGGTCGGTTGCGGAACGAAGTTCCCGAAGAGATTCAAATATTTGCGGCGCTTATGCTCGATACTTTCGATACTCGATTATCGGTTTTCTACTCGTTCGTAGGCATTATTTGTACTGTGCGGTCGGTAAATTTTTTCCCTGAGCGCGCAACGCTCCAGCAAGCGGCCGAGTAAATTGTTGGAGGATTTTTTATCGGGTACGGCCGTTTGGCATCCGACGGTTGAAATTTTGCCAGTAAAGGGCATGCGTCAGCTCTCGTGCGCAAGATCTCCGTGTCAGTTGGACGCACAGTTCGCACAGGTCCCGTCGCAGAATTTCGAAAAGTATCCAGGGAAGAAGTATCGCGAAAGAGACACACGAATACCATCGAATACGAAACACTGCGATAGAGTGAAATTGTATATCGTCCGTTATGGAAAACTGATGCATATCTATTCGATACGAATCCGTTAATTAAGACAGAATTCACTGTACGATAGTGCTTTTAGATGTTCAGCCCACGGCAAAATAATATGGATTGGCTGACCACTCGCAGCTTCCGATGAATTTCTATCGCAAGCGGTTAATTGCATTAGTGCCTCGCCAATGACAAGCGAATAAGCTTTAATTGAACCACAATTATCGAGAATGTCGATTCCATTTGGAAGCGTAGTCGAGTTTACCGTTGCGCAAATATTCGAACGCGGGAGTAATAAAATTTCTTGGTACGCGGAGTCGCTGACAAGGAGCTGTTCGAGATCATATTCGAGAAACGTACGTTATGAGCGCGAAGTATGACTGTTATTGCGCTGAACAGAATGTGTACATTACCAGGAGACAAAGGGTGTAAAAGTGCGCTGCGACGTGACCTGTATTCCGAATACGATTTCATCAAATTTGGGATGCTTTTCCTATGCGATGTTTCGCTATATCTCTGCTGACGCTGCGTTGTTTCTCGTTGATGTTTGATTATACTTATCGATCTATTCGAATCTACCTTTGCGAGATGCGGGAACTCTTGGAATTCGAACCGATCGATCCCATGAATGAGATAGAAAAAAATACATGTTAATTGTTGCTTCGCGGCATCCCATTTACGTTAAGCTAATGACCGCTGTATTTGCTACGCGAGGCATCTGTCGGTGTTTAAATATTAGGGTGTTCGAACTCGGGAGGTTCTACCGCATCTATTCTTCTGTTTTCATTTGTTTCCGTATACGAATCGTAACGGGGATCGCTAGTTAATAAATTGAATCCCCGTCTCGATTCAGCAGCAGAAGTAACGAGCGGTGACCAGACTTACGCGTATTTTCGTGCGCGCCAGTTTCAGCCGACGCGTTTCAATGGCTGAAATCCCGAGCAATTTCCTCGAGAACAATGCAATACACAGGCGCGCAGAGGATGCGCGCAACGAACGACGAAATATTGACACTGGCAGGCGGGGGACCGGTGCTGCAAAAACGGGAAAGCAAAGTGGTACGGTGGGTGGCGGTCGAGGGCGGAGGGTAGCCAGTATGAATACAGTCGTTTATACGCCGAGGTGCGAACGCGGACAAAAACATTTTGACACGATGCATTTTTTCCGTGTCACCCGTGCGCGCGCATGAGAGCGCACCCTCGCCGAAAATGCTCGCGGAAGAAGGGAATTCACGTAATATATTTCACGTCGACCTGGATGGAAAAAGTGAAAAAATAGCGGCTAAAGCGTACCTTTGCGCTGGGTCGCGTCACTCGTCCAACGATCTCGCACAATTTCCGTTACGAGGTGCTCATGGACCGCGTAGCGATCAATTCTCGAATCCAGGTGGGCGGGAAATAGAAGAAAATAAAAAGAGAGGCACTCGAATATTCTACCTGTGGACATTCATCTTCGAATCCTGTAGGCTCTCTTTGTTTTTAATTCTGTCAAATAAGTAATATTGAACGCGACAGAATCGTCTCTACCAATTGTTTGCATCCAATTATACACGTTTGCTCACGCAACCGTCGCGATGTGTAATGTATATAAGAGCCGTGACCCGTTCGTTTAACACATAAATAAATAAACGTCGACGAAGGATCCGATTATCGCGAGCCACGCGGCATATGCGCTCGAAACTATATTTTACCCCCGCGAAAGGTCGCCGCATTGTGTCCGAATTACAGGAACGAAACGCTGCAACGATGGTTCGCTGGATTTTTGTACATACGAGCATCGATCCGTGGGACTGTATGGAATTAACTGGTTGCCGGCTGCGAGCATCGACGTCGAAGCCCCAGTTATTTCGGTCAAGCCCAGAGGACAGCGGTGTCCATCGTTCGAATTTTCATTTTACACGTTCGTTTAATGACGCTATTGGCCGATCCACCATTAACGGCGAAGCCCGGTTCCCAAATCATTTTCCGTGAACCTTTCATTATTCCTCGATTTACGACACGCGCAGCGACGCGCCGCCGCGAACAACAGGGAGGATTTTCCATTAAAGAAATTTACATATTAATAGAAGCGCGCATCGCGGCACTAGAACGGGACGCGATTGAGTCGGAATTTCGTTAAAAAAAAAAAAAAAAAAAAAAAGAGCGAGCGATTCGAGGATGGGAAGCAGGCGCGTATCGCGCAGATATATCGTGGAATCAATGATACGGATCTGCTTTCAGAGGGGAAATATCATATGCTGCCGACTGGGGAGCTGCTGGTATTCCAAATAACAGCGGCCGATGTCCATTCCAGTTATCGATGCCGGACCGTGCACCATGTCACAAGCGAGAACGTGGAAAGTTCCTCGTACGCCCGGATCGTGATAAGTGGTAAGTTTTGGATATCAGACATCTGTCGTTACCTCTAGATGATTCGATCATCCGATCTCTTCCACTTCCCATCGAGCTAGCAGCTTCTCGCTTCGCGAAATTACGCTCGGCCGAAGCACGCCAGAAAATTGAGGGCGTGCGTGCTTATACGTTTTCCGAGATATTATCGCTCTGAGTTCGGACGCGTTTGTGACTGAAGTGGTAAAAAGAAATCGACCCTGGGTCATTTGTACGGTGTCACACTGCGACGAAAGTTACGTTTAGCTTTCGATCTTGAAGTAGATTCGCGAATTAGGAAGAAGTAGTCCGTCGATGAACACGATCGTTCGACGAGCAAATAGTCGCGCGAACAACATCAATTGTCATCGTCTGGTTTTCCGTCGTCTATGGGGGATCGATCACACTCGAGCTATAAATGATACGAATATGGTTCTTATCGCGGATCGTCGAGGGAAAAAATGGTTAGACACGGGGAAAACGAACGAATCCGCGTGGTGGGAGCTGCGTTGGCATAATGGCGATTAAAGTACGTGAGCGGCTGCTCGTTCGGAGCATTTCTCAGGGATATCCAGGGAACGTTTCGTGCATCTACTTAAACACGAGCGTTTATACAACGATCTCACGCATACCTTTTGCATAATAAATCATAATGCATTGTTGCGCGTTTCCTGTGGAGCGCGCCGTGCCCAGCAGGCCGCTTGCCGTGCTCGCGCGGTGTCTACTTCATGAATAAATCATGAGTGTCCGAAATGCTAATGGCCGAAACCTCCACGCTCTCTCGTGGTCGTCGCCTCGGTGTTCCTGCGCCGCTACCAAGTGCTCCGAACTGTAAACAAAATGTACCGACATCGTTGAAAATACGTGCTGATTCGGAGTGGCTGGCAGCTTTTACTTCTGGTACATCGCGGTAAATACGTTAATAGCCTAATTACGAGCATTGTCGCGGACACTGCAGCTTCCTGCGCGATGCACTCGACGCGTTTGTCTCTATCGTTTCGGCCCACTCGTGTTTTAATAACAATAATTTACCAACCGTGCAGAGATTCAACCCAGTACGATAACAAATAACGACACGGCAAATATTTAAAAAAAAAAAAAAAGGAGACCAAAACGCGAATCTGTATAAATTAATGCGACTGTTCACGTGTGGATACGTTTTCGGGATGCGATGGTATTTTCGATGGAAGCTTTGAAGGTGCGCGTGCCGAAAACGAGAGAAACTCGACTGTTACGTCAAAGGTTTATACAAATTGTGTATTTTAATATCTTCGGGCTACAGCTTTGATCGTATTGTTGCTCATTTTCGAGCTTTGCGGAACATATATTACACATCATAGAGTATCCAAATAATTTCCAGCTCATTTACATAATTAATCTTCTCGACTATATTATTTCAGTGCGCCTGCTAGCCTGTGCATTTAGTTTCATGTTTCATTCGACCGACAACTTCGAAAATGGTATTTAATCGAACTGAAATACAACGGATCAAACCGCGAAATATTAAAAGTATCGGTAATTCTAAGAATCGCATCGAATTACGTAAAAATCTCAAGGATAGATTTTCGATCATTTCGAAGCTTGCCTGTCCCTTTAATTAACTTGAAGGTCTTCCTTGGGATTCAACGTACGCGTGATATCCAAGCGATAGTAATCAACCCCTGTGAACAATCGCAGCTGTGAACACGATGGCTCGTCGGTAAGCTTCATCCAGCGCAAGAGAGCTGCTGATTCGTAAGACATAAAATGGGTCGAATGTGGATGAGCGGTTGGAACAATAGGTTGGCTAATGATGAAAGTGCAAGTCGAGATGCTCCGGTACCTGGGATAGAGAAGTCACGAATTGGAATCGAATGCGAGATGAGCATATTGTTCGTTGGTTGCTTGCCATCTGAAACGATGAAATCAGAGACGGTTGTTCGAGGAAGTTTGGTTAAAGTAAGAATTTGCTTAGCTTTGGCTTTGAGTGATGTCGTAAGAGAGGTCGAAGACCTCCTTCGAAGAGTACGGCCACCTTCGAGTTATCGGGTAACGTCGAAAATAACGACACGCGTCGCTATTCCCTTTGCGGTGTATCCGTTTGCGTGTCGTGTTTACCGTCATCTTTTACTCTTCGATACAGTCATTTTTTATGTTCTCTCGAGCTAATAGAGACAGAGGGCAATGGTAAATATCCATTTATAATTTGTATTCCAATAGCGAAAAGTTTCCTATACCTAGCTCGTAGACTAGACCGATTATGCATCGACTCGTGATTCCGTCAAGATGGCGGGAAGTTAATCGATCTTGCTAAGCAGAGACAACCTTGCGAACGTTGGCTTGTTTTCCACGGCACCTGTCGGTTCCAGTTTTTGTCATAGTCACCGCCATTATCCAACCTAGCATTTTTCGTAAGCTTTCGCCTCCTTCCACTTACCCTTCTCGACTACGACGCGTCAGAGTTCCGACGCCTCGACACGTTTTAGAGACACCCCGGTTTTTAAGTCTCGTGTCCATTAAAGAGCACGGACGCTAGATGAACTGCAAAACCTTCAGCAACTGCGTTTTCTCAAGGACGAACACCACCTCGCTACTAGAAACTTTTCAAACAAGATTCATCGCAATTAATTTCTAAGCAACTTCAACTACGTCCCCATGGTGATATAACCCTTTAAGTCAAACGCGATGCGCCGCGTCCTAATGGACCAAACTGCTCGACGCCAAACACACCACGACAGTGTGCGTTTGCCGTCTCGATAACCATCCAAGCGAATTCGAGTCGGACTCTCGACGCGATGAAAGAAAATCGCCACGGTGAGAAATCCGAGAGAACGCTTTCCCTCCGCGTATCTACCACTTTTTCGACGCCGAAGTTTAATCTGTACTTTTCTCCCTCCGTCGCTCCCTCTCCGTAATGTTTAGTGCTTTCCTCTCGTGTTTCCACGAACCTAGGACGCCTCGAAATATGTTTGCCTCGGAATTGGTTTGCCGAGAAATCGGAGATTTTACGCGCTTCTTCCCAGATCGCGGAAATACGCGAGTACATGTTGACCTTCTTAATCTTCTGTCTCCACGCGGAACTTCGTTCCAAGTTTCTAGCTCTAAACGTCGCCGAAGTTGCTACAGCGACATGCGCTACAACCGAATTAAGTTTTATTTGTGACAACGCAAACCGTGTTAACGCGTTCTAAGTTGCCAGTCGCTCGTATTAAACAAGTTTTTGAAATGCAAAGGGTTGATACTAATCACTTCGAGTTCTTGGTACGCGCGATATACTCTCTTGGTTATCTAGTTTTACAACTGACGTCTAGCATTGCGAATTACGTTCCGTCAAGCTGAAGAGGTACCGAGGGTTTTCGGTTATCTTTGCTGCTGGAATTTAATATAACTGCGCCAAGAACGCAACCCGGTTTATAACTGGCGGACCAAAGAAAGTTTCTCTTGCAACGTTAGTCGTAACAAATCCCACGATCGCGCTGCTTTTTCCTGTTAATGCATTCGGAAAGGCAATCGGAAGAAACGTTCCATCGTTGCGGAGGGTTCGTCGCGAAGTTCGCTCGGGCAGACTGCCGAGCTGGAAAGTTTTATCGGTACATCCCGTGTTCGATAATAGCTAAGAAAGTTTTCGTTTGTATCGCGATCTTGGCGTCGATCGTATCGCGTGATCGATCGATATTCACCTCGAGCGATACGTTTAATTCAATTCCGCGAGAACTTGGACGGAGAGAAAGTTCGAGACGGAGATTCGACGAGAGCATTCCTCTCTCGTCTCCCCGGGAGCTCGACTTAACCGAGCGTCGAATCAGCTTGGCGGTCGAACACTTTTTTGAGTGTTTACCCTCTTCGCCTTTGCCTACTGAATCTCGTTGTCGACTCGGTCAGCTTTCGACGATACTCGACGGACGTCCTTTGGCTCCTCGATCGAAAAAAACTGTGAATTTAGGTGAACGTAGGTCTATATTAAGGAAGTGAACGCATTCGCCGACTGAAGTTTGGTCGACGGAAAGTCGATAGCGCGTGCTTAGTCTTACGTTTACATCCTTCGAGTCGACTACCGAGACCCTGGAGATTACTCCGTTCTTAATCTTCCGCCTCGTACTCACCAAGCGAAGGCGGACGCGTCGGGGAGGACGGTGCTCGCCGAAGAGAGCGTCGCCGCGATGATAAACGCGCGCCGTTGTGAATTGTAAATGCAGATTTATCGCGTTTATTCGCGACGCTGCGAGGGAGTGAAACAAAAAAAAAAAAAAAAAAAACAAGGAACAGATCCACCATCCGGGTTGCTATCCGCGTACGTTCACGGTATTACTTCTAAGTACTTTAAAGACTCTCTCCCGGCCTGGAAAAATGTTGAACTTTCGTAAATCCGTGGAACAAGGCGAGCAGTTTCTTCGTGGCGCGCTTTTACGACGCCCTCGTGGCTTTTTTACCGGTCAATGCCGGGGATAGTCGAGGGAAACGGAAAGGGTCGGAGAAATAAAGAGCGAGGAGACGGCGCGAGGAGGGGGGAGAAGGAAATCGCGGACGAAGAAAAGGGACGGAGGGATATCGCCCCTATCGGAGACTCGACGAAAACGCAAAGTACAATCCACGGTGCCAGGATGTAACCAGTCTGCGGAGCAGCGTCGGCAAGAAACAATGCAGCCATCACGGCTCCAATCCCTTCGCTCGCTACCCTGCAATCTTATCGAGCTCAACCTACTTGTATATCTCTCTTTTCTGCACCCTCGCATACTCGCACGCGGGAGCGCGCCCGCGCATCTTGCCGAAGCAAGGAACCACCGGATAGGATGATTCGCGAAGAACTAGACGAGCGAATTACGCTCGAATTCCGCTCGAAGACAAGGCGAATTCGTTCGCGTGGATTACCTCTTCCGTCGGACGTCGTCGAGAGGAATCGTTCGTCGCGAGAACAGCTATTGCAACGGATCGTATCCAGCGGAATCGGAACGAGTCGACGGAGAGCATTATGGTAATGCATAGCGATTACGGTGGCATTTCCGGAGGTCTCGATTAAGCGTGGAGGGAGGAGAGGGCAGGGTAGAAAGGTACTCGATACGATACGCATATCCTGAAGGTATCCAGGAGAAGAGGATGAAAAATGTTCACCGAGAATGACGAACGACGGCGAAGCGTTCTGTTCGTTGACATCCGAGCACCGTACCTGGCGCATCGATCTTCTTGAGTTTCACGCTACGAGGCGCGGAATATGACACGCGTTAATCCTTACACAGGCGAAACAAGAGCGTCGCTTTAACAGTTGTAGCGGTTGAAATTCTTTACCTTCGCATATGCTATTCAACGAAGCTAATTATCGTAAATACCGGTAATCAATTCGCACACCTCCTCCTTCTAAGTGTCACGACCCTGGAGAGTTTATAATGATATTTTCCATCTCGAACCCAACGTTCCCAAGACCGTCGGTAAGTCTTCGAGGCGCGGGCTGTTAGGGACATATTCTTCGAACCCTTCGCGACCCGGTAAATTTTCATTCGTCCGCCAGAGTTTTCTAATTCAATATTCGCGCCGAGTTACAGCTTCGTCGGGACATTTCTCCGTTCATTCTCCGGTATCGGGTAACTTTGACGGTGACGGTGCGAAACGAGTTAGGTTTACCCTCAGTTTCTCTCTGTCCGCTCGTCCGTATAAATCAGAGATATAATTATACCGAATTGCGGCGAAGCGATACGCATCGAATCACGTGTACGCCTTGCGTGCAAATTGCGCCCGGGTATCGCGCGTTGTGACCTGAATTCTGAAGCAATCAGCGGCTGACATTAAATTACGCGTGTGCTCCATCGGTTCGAGAGCAGCTCGCCGCTTCGATGACGTAATTAGTAAATGGCGTAATACGGTTCCCGGTAATATTACGTACAATTAATGCAGAAACCTGTCTTGCCAAGTAATTAACGAAGCTCAAACGATCCACCGATTCCCCGCCCCTCGTAACGGACGCCGATGCCCATTCGTCTCCGATCCTCCGGGGTGCCTCGCTCACGCGTCACGCGGACGGTGCTTATTCCGCAGATTTTCAGTGTAACGACTCGAAGCGGAAAATTCCCTCCAATTTTCTCCCTTTCGTTCGTATTTCACGCTTGATTCGCGTCAGACTGGACTCGAATCAGGCCACAGCGCTCGAGAATCTCTCCTTATGGTCTCGGATAACATCGAGAAGACAAGGTGGCGAGAAACTCGGAATCGTAGGATTCTTCGACCTCTCCGATGCATTTCATAGAGATTCATCGTAGCGTTTTGCTAATTAAACTGTTTGGTTTGGGATGCTCGAACGTCGTCATGGACTGGTATCGTGCTCACCTCTGCGATCGATAAATAATCAGACTGTGCAGGATGCGAGCGTTATCGGATCCGCCTGACGCTTTATCGAATTAGGTATACCGAGAGGAAGTATACTTGGTACTTTGTTATTCTCTATTTGTGGAAACGTTCTACTTCTCGCTCCATTAAACTGCATGCGCATGCTATGCACCGACGAATCCGGGATCAGGATCGCGAATAACTCGTAAAGTGCTCGATCCCATCGCTACCCCGACGTTGACGTTTCCCCTAACGCGAATCAACCTTAAGAATTTCAACGGCGTAAAATGGCGAGCGCGAGAGTCCGCGTTAGTCGCCGCGCGCGTTGCGTGAGATACATTGTACGGCTAATTAGCGACAACTTTGTCACGGTGAAGTTGCTTGCTCTGGGTAAATACGTGAGAAAGACCGGAGCCATTTGAAATTCGCTTTGCCAACGACACACGCGCCCGGTGTATATTTAATAGAGTCTTAATTGGAGTCGACGGCTCGAAAGGTTTAATTGGACATCGTTCCGCCGCGGTTTCTCCGTTCCCTTCGGTCGCGTTTTTCTCCCCTCGCCTCGTCTCGTCGCGCATACGACGTGCCCTACCCGCTCGCGGATCGAGTGCTGCGAGAAAGGGCGAAGCCTGAATTACACAGTCGATGACTGATGGTTTAAAGGATATCAAGATGTTCGTTTGAGTACACTGTCTGTCCGCTCGCTGTTCCGCTTAAATATCGTACTCGTGCGCCGGCCGAGTGCTCTTCCTCGATACTAGTCGAGTTCCCGTACTTGGAAATCACTTGCCGTTGTAGCTTATTAATTAAACTTCCCTCTCAACTGTTTAACTTTTTAACTGCCGCAAACGCTGCTGCTGCTGCCGTCGTCGCCGCGGTAAGAGCATTCCCGGCGGAGGGGGAAATGCTTTTTAAATTTGTCTACCAACCTTACCTGTTTTCGTCGTGCTCCACGTCAGGTTAACTTTCGTTTCGCCGCTTCGCGAGAAATTCGCAAAGCGCGCGTGTATTGTGCCGATTAAGGACGAGCCCTATTTCGCCTGGAAAAATACCAAGCAAATGACTGTTCTATGGGGAGAGGTTGAAGTGCGTTCGTTTGCTTATAAATAGTAAAAAATTCCATAGGAAAACATTATTAGCCTGAACAATTTTTTGCCTAAATTACACCACTGACGAACTAACTCGAACAGCTGTGTCACTTGTACAAGCAACAGAACGTTTGTTCCTTTCGACCCCCGTTTCGTTGGTTTTAGCATTTCATACATCCATCGCTTGTTGCCTTGTTTATCTTTCCTTTCCCCATTCTTTCAAATCAGCTACTTTTCACGTCAAAGGATGCGTCTCGTCTAGTTCCATCGAATTCAATTTCAAACATCGCGGGTTGACTCTGTCGCGGCAACGGGGTGATCAACGCGCTATCGAACGATTGGTCGTCGGAAAAATCAGCAACGCGAGTTGATCCTTCGATTCCAGTATCGATCAGCCGACCAAGTTGCACGCGCGTTTTTTCGCCAGGCGAACGTCAACGTCAACAACGTTGACGTCGAGGATGCGTAAGTCAGATACGAACGGCGTAAAAAGTTTTGGGAGGTACGCGTCCATGAGCTGGTGGAACCAACGGTAGTATCCACAAGGGTGTGGTGGCGGGGCGTTGCTGGAATATGGCAACTGGAATCGCACGCTGGCACAAGCGAGATAGAGAGAATAAGAGGGAGAGAGATAGAACGAGAGAAACAGCGCGGGTGAGAGCGTGAGAGATGGTTCGAGAGCCAGCGAGAGAAGCAACGAGGAGGAAGAGAGAACGGGATAGAGGCAAGCGACGATCAATACGCCATCAGCTTAAATTACAATAATAACGCCGACCAGACAAAGCGAGCGCGCCATTATGAAATAGTGCAGCCGTAAAAAGCTCTGACGTCGCGGGGTCCAGCTATTCGACAAACAGCATTCGGTGTTTAAGTGTTACTAAAACCGAAATAAAACGGCGGTTGTTTTGGGTCGTCGTTAAGGCCCAAGATTCCGAGGGATTGAGTGGTTGTTTTGTCATGCGCTGTTTAGACCAACGGGTTGCCGATACGCCTCTCGAGATTGCGCTCATTAAAGTAGATCCATTACCCCCGGGGCTGTACGATTCCCAAGTTATTATGTATGCACATGTATACTTCGATTAATAACGGTCGATCAATTTCAGCGAGTTTGCGTTACGTTACGGTGAACATCGGCCGTCCAGCGATCGAGCAGATGCAACGCGTGTCGGCGGGATAAGGAAAAAGACTGCTATTTTAGCGTGCAATTACGTAACATTAATTTACACGTAACTCGATCGATGGAATGTTTGCGGAAAACGAAATAGTAACGAGGCTCGAGCGTCCTCGAACGATTCTCCACTCTGTGGGTTTACATTTCGTTGTCAAAGGGTATTCATTTTGCAGTCGGTTGTCGATTCGCTGGGAAAAGAGTGTCGCTTATGAACGAAATTTTTAAATTAATAATAATATACCGTTTAAATCGATGAGAATAACCCGTGCAACGCCCGCAATTGTAATTGAACCGGAGAAGATAACATGGGAATATGGAACAAATAAGGGAAGAGGACAGAGAGAGAGAGAGAGAGAGAGAGAGGGGTGGAAGTCAATAAATGTAAATTTACCGAGCATACTAACTCGCATTATACGTAACTGGAACAAAAGGTTTTCCGTGGACTCGAAACATTGATCCCGAGATCTTTGTCTATTTCAACGCGTCCCTGGAGATTTTTCTTAGAAATGTCCAGGAGTTCTGAATTGTACGTAAGAATTTATTTTCGGCAACGAAGACAAACAACTCCTGCTGCAAACCGTTCTTCCATATCTTTAAAAATAATCACGATATCCGAATAACCAGTCTACGTTTAGCAGATTTCGACATAAAATATAAAGTAATCCGCGACTGTGAAATTAAATGAATATTACAAAATGTGTCGTTATTTTCAGTGAAACGATCATACTGGCTGAAGGGTCGAGGAAAATACGTGTCGTTGAAATTGTTGTTATTATCGTACGGTGCTTGCAAATGGAAAAGGATTATCGTTATCTACAATATTCGTGCATGACATTTTCGCGTATTATTCGAAAACATGAATCTCGATCAAAAGCTTATAACTAAAAATATCTCAAACAATTCTGTTACGAAACAAGTTTTTTTTTTTTTACTTAACATATATCGCTTAGTTTTAATCAGTATAATATCTTCGATTATTTTGATATTCTCGAGATAAGTTATTTATATATATTTTTCCATGAAAAGTAAAATATGAAACACGTTTATATAATCAGATTTCAACCCAAACTAGGAATCGATTTTTTTGAGACTAAATTATTCATCTTATATATTTAATTCTTGGAGGTAAAATCAATAAAAGGTCTGTCCTATTTTCCTTTTCAGACCAACGCAAGCCAGTCCCGCCGCGATTCAACGAACGAGTCAGCCCAGCGCCGATACGGACACAGGAAACGATCGTTCTGTCTTGCATCTCTCAAGGAATACCAGCCCCGATGTACCTGTGGTTTCGCGAGTCCGTGTCGGGCACGGCGATGATCTTCGATTCGGAGAGGGTCCACGTCAGGGCAGGCGTGCTAGTTATACAATTGGCCACACCCGAGGATGCTGGACGATACGTCTGTCACGCCAACAATACAGCCGGTTCCGAAAGGGTCGAATTGGAAGTTTCCATTATAAGTAGCCTCTCTATCCACCTAGCACCTCTACAGGTTAGTTTCTGCTACCTTCGATGCATCTTTGTGCCCGGTATCGAGCACCTTTCTTCTCGCTACCGTAATAAAAGAGCATCCTTCTTCCCTTTGATTCTTTTCGAGAACATAGCTGCGACCCATTCACTGCTCCTGCAACGTACAGCTTTAGATTGTACGTACAGAACGCACTACAATTGCATACAAAGTCTTGCGTTGGTGTGTGCGAGCAGGAAAGTATTCGAATCTCCTTGCCTCCGTTCGCCTACCGCCCTCCTACTTTGCAACAGGTTACGTGTATACTCTACGCATACTAATTCCGCACTTCCTTAAAAGCTTTCATATCTTTGAACGCTAAAACGCGGATCGACTTTATAACATTCTCTTTTTTTTTTAGTTGAACTCGTAGCGCTTTCCTTTCCGATTTCAAAATTGGTTCTTATATTCAAAATTTTACTTTTCCTGACCCACTCGCGGAGTTTTCGTCGGATATATAAAGATGTCCAGGATCCGTAATCGTGCAGGTACTAGGAATTCCAGGATCTCCTTGGAAAAACTCCCGCCTCCCTCGTCCACTTAGAGCCTCAACAGGTTAGTATCCTGTTCCCCGACGATTGGATCTCAGAAACGAATCGAGCGGTTCGGTTGCCTTCCTGCTTCACCCTCGATAATCCCCGTCCTTCGAGAAATCTTCGAGGTTTCTTCGCCTCCCGTCGCCTTGACGTTCCCTGGGTCCCCACCTCCGGTGTTCACGATTACTTATTCTCGATTCACTTACCGCGACGCGACACTTAGTTACGTAATTCGAGCACGAACCGCAGCCCTCGAAACTTCCGGTTATCGAGTATCCTGGGAGGGTCCTGTCATTTCGGAAATGAATTCGCGAAAGACGCAGCTGTTTCCACGGCGAAGCGAAAGGGCCGCGATTCCCGATGATAAGTAGCTTCGCTTCATCCATCCGATACCTCAACAGGTTACCGTTCCTTTATACTATTTTGTAAACAACTCGAGAGCTCCTTCTCCTCCGACGGTTACTTTTTCTTCTCGCCGTTCCCCTCGCCACCCACGCCACCACGCGCCAAGCGTAACCGAGATTTCTCGACGAGCGTCGATTCTATTTCCAGCAGATCTGCGAACTGCTGGCAGTCCGTTCTGCCGCGCAACATAACGGTTCGTTGCCCCGTGACTTTGTTAAGTCGATGAGATATATCCCCGTTCCGGCGGGTACTCGCGATCCCTCGAATCGCGCGCCACCAGCCACCCCAGCAGATCTCTCCGAATAAATTCCGATCGACTGCGCGACGTCGTCGACTAATTCTCACCGGTGAGGATAATTGGAGATCGCGAAACGTAAATACGATATCGTTGGAGGCGGCGTGTTTCTCGTTGAGAAAGGTCTCTTATTAATCAAGACAAACGCCTTCGTCGCAGACACATTTAGCATTAATTGAAACTTGGCCGCATCGAACGATTTAATAAAATAGAATTCGATTTTTCCGTGATTTCGAAGGCTCGTCGCTATTCGATGCTCGAGGACGACAACGCGTCGCTATTCGAAACGATCGGGTGGTCGAGATTCGAGGTCGTTCGAACCGAAGACACGTTTAAAGTAGGTGTATCTAGTATATGGAAGAGTCAGTTATGAGATTCGGTTCGGGCGCCTTGTCGAGCAAATGGAGAATGCGACAGTAAAATGCGACAATCCGATGGAAAATGCGACGAAGTGGTCGGTATGCTGGCGTCTGTCGAGCATGGTTTCCGAGTACGTATATGTGTACAAGGTGGACCAAATAAATGACTGTATTTCTCGAGAGACATTTTATCGAGTAAGGTGTGTACGTTGACCTTTTTAGCAAAGTGCCTTTCCTATACTTATTGGAAAATATATTGAGTGCGAGAAAGGAAATATTACTTTAGGAAAATGAATATGAACGAAATTCTAGTTTCATCTGCGTACACACAAATGTAAGTCCATATTCGCAGAAGTTCTAACACTTTTGGTCCACCCTGTATATATAAAAGAAGGGTATAGAGATCGTCGAACGATCCATACCACCGCGAATAGCGAGGGACGGAGGACAGAGAACGGTGAACCGAGTCGATGAAATAGCATTCATTCGCCGGAAGCTTCTCGCATAACTTTTGCAGTCATCAGCAAAGAAACGCTTATCGCGGCCGGATTCTTTCATATATTGACTCCCATTCGCTCCGACAATTTTCTTCCATTAACGCGTCCGACTTGGACGGGGCTTTTTGTTAAAAGGATCGATGCGCCTTTTCGTTACGCGCTGGTTTTAAAGAACCCGTCGTCCAATAAATTCTCGGTTAGCAATTTTGCTGGTAAGATGCACGGTACGTTCGGACTTTATGATGAACGCAGAAGCGAGTTAAACCATTTCGTAGCAATCAAGATATTAGCCGTTAACCGTCGTTGTCTAATTGCAATTTACAATTTGAAGATGCAGACGAGGCAGAAGAGTTACTATTTCTAAGCTTTAAATTGTTTTTAAATAGAGAGGCGCCCGAAGTGTTGGCGTACGATATATTCAAATGTAATTAAAAACAGCGAAAATCCTGTGAAATGTTCTCCCGGAGATGGTCTCGAGATCGCCGCCAGGGCAGAAAATTTCACCGCATTCTACGCCGAGCTGAATACGGTCTTGCGCGCATTCGACGGAATTTATGACCACTTCCACCCTATTTTTCCAGAAATTCTCGCAATAATTCTCTTTATTCTCCGTCTCTATTCGCCTATGGAACGTTCTAAAAATAGTCGTCGCACAGCGAACACGCGTCCACCTATGTCGCGGTTATATTGCTGACACAAACGCATCGCTGCGCAGCGTAATAATGCTGTTATACACGTATACCGGAAGACAGTCGTAAAGACAAAGGAGAAGACAAAGAAAAGAATCGAGGTGAAACTCGACAGCGCCTTCGGGTTGTCTTTTTTTTTTTTCGCGACTCTCCTTCGGCCGCCTCCGAAGGCGGCAACTCGCGCGCCTTATTTTCCGTTCGTTCTTCTTCCGTTGAATACCGTATCAAAGGATATTTAAAACCGTCTTCGGTTTAAAAGAAACTTTCCTTGGAGGTGTCTCGTGGAACAAAAAGCGGCCAAAGATGAAGCGACCCGCGATCCTCTCGACACTATTTAACGGTCGCGAGTTCGATTCGATGGAATCGACGAATTCTTCTCGACTCGTCGCTTCGCCGCGAATAATCCCAGTGTGAATCGCTTCCCGGTCTATTCGAATTCCGTTTATCCGATGGATCGACCCGATCGTTTATTGCGACCCTTTCGGCCGTATAAGAAGACCGTGTCCTCCTTTTTCATTCATCGGAACACGCTCGATATATCCGAGGAATCTCTACCGATCCTTTGACGCTCGAAGCGCTCTCGAAATTCATAGCTGAAGGGCACTCGCGCAACGCAAACCCTGGCAAAAGTCTACAGAGCATCTGGATACATGTGTGTACCCGTATATCTCATCGATATATCTCTGGCAATCAATAATCAGGCCACGGATTCGACCTTTCCGTAACGTATACAACCCCCGCACTCTCTTGGCTTTGCTCGAGGAAAGGAGACCCTTTAACAATATTTATTTAGCTATTTTATTGAAAGAACCCTTCGATACATATGATTAGAACGTAAGAGAAAGAAATGGAACGGCAGAGATAGACGATAGTGTAATAATAGTTAATGAATAATACCGATGGTGTTACAGAGAGTAACTTTATTACGTCATCACAATATTTTACTACAAAATAGTTGATGCTGCGCAATCTTCTAACATAGTTAGGAGTTTCCACGGAATGTGCAATATCATGTTTCGATTAATAATGGAATTCTCCTCGATAAGCAATAATTTATTATCAATTACTTCGTCAAAGTCCTTGCCCATATCAAGGGAAAGTCATATTTGTCTGTACTACGAAATTCCTGATGAGATAAATTTATAATACCTCAAGAATATCGGGAAAACGCTACCGCAGACAAATTTCCTGTAAGATCGAAGCGCGATAGTTATCAAAGACGTATATTAAAATGTCAGTAGAACGCTCCGTTCATCGGCATTTCTATAGCGCCATCGACACGCTCGCTCCGCCGCGGTATGTGCCGTGCGGTCAGACGTGTCTGACTAGTTTGGCATTGTTCTACTTGCAACTGTTGGCGCGGTAGCGATACGGAGGATGGTCATTACTATGGCACGACGCGATGCTTATTCTTTTAACTGTTGAATAGATAAGGGGTAAGGAGAGCCTCTGTGTTTAATAACTTTGCAATTTATTTTTCTTTTATATAATATACAGGTCAAAATTGAATAGAGAAATAACATATGTTATAGTACTATCCTCAAACGCCAAAAGGTTTGCCTATTGATATTGAAAACTTGGAATCGAATAGAAATTTGAATATGGGTCAGTTTTTTGATTTTTGAAAACTTATATCGCGGTTGCATATTTATTTTAGCACCGCATACCCACACCATTGTGTCAACGAGAGGAATGACTGTATAAACACAACACTCGTTTCCCACAGCGAAATTTGCAACGTCGAATCTCGATCCAGCAATTCCACTCGGTTGACATTTTCTCGTATGCCTTTGTCGCTCGCGACGTAAACGAAATATTCGTTTAAGTCCTGGAATCTTGCACGATCCGCTATTGCTTTCCATCGATTCTCAGCTTCTACAAACAGGATACTCTGTTAAACAGCTAGCCGCGTCCCGTTTACCTAGAACGATTCTCGTTAATGATATATCAGTCGAGCCACCAAGTCGATCAAAGGAAGATGGTTACACAACTCGGAAGCAATTAAGCTTCCAAAGATGAGCGATGGAATAGGTATCTAGCAAGACTCCGAAATACCCATTCACAGAGTTGCGACTGAGCGCATTACGGGTTTTGTACGGGAATTCAGATTTACGTACGATAACTGACATTTCCTCAGCGTTATTAACCTGCTATCTCGAGAAATCGATATACACAGGACAGGATGGGTATTTTAAGTGAAAATAAATCGTCTTAATATACTTTTCAATACATTATTTTTGACATATTTCTGGACTTTATTAAACAGTAGCAACGGTAATATTCTCCCAAGATCAATGGTCCGTCCGATTCCTTCAAAGAGAGTAAGAATAATGGACAATAAGGTAAATATGATTCCCTGTGAACGCTAGGAACAAAGCACCGCTTTGCGGTATCTGGGATTTCGTTTGCGTGCACTCACCAGGTTATAGCGCGCTACGAAACACGATCCTCACGTACGTCCTTATAATTGCAAAATGCACGCTCCATTTGTATGCTGGCGAAAGGGTCGTGTAATCCTTCAAATAGAATCGTATACCACCACTGTTCGCTGAATCTGTATTTGCTTGCTCGTTAATGCATCTGCATTTCGAGCAAGAATAGTTACGTTGAAAAAACAAAATGTGTACGTCTACCGCGTGAAATTATGTTCGTCACGCAACAAGAGTAAGTGGTTGAAGCGTCGAGGAATGTTTCGTATAATTCTAAGGGTTTTCGTAGAAGTTTGATTCGCATCAGAACTCGGTTGAAATTACTAGCAAAAATTTAGAACGTGTTTCTGAATGATCTTGCGTATAGGCGTCGGCGAGGGAAATATAAGAAGTCCCTTTCCAATTTTTGTTCAAGAAGAATGAAGGCACTTTACATTTTACATAGTGGCGAGTTCCCAGCCTCGTAGTAATTCATACACCGCGGATGCGACGTTAGATGAAATTGCAGGGCTCCCGAGTACAATACCCCTGCAAGTGATTTCGGACAACTATGGCCAGACAACGAAGAATAGCCTTGGAGATATATTGTATTTCATTTCTTTATTTTTACCAGCGAACGCAGTCGAGAACTCCTTTTAATATTTTAACCAGTATACCCTTGATAACTTTTACGTAATATTATACATAAAGAATGTACATACATCTGTTTCAGGCCACCGTCGACTTGGGGAAAGATATCAAATTTCAGTGTTCCGTTACCGGTCAACCAGTCCCGGTGATCTCCTGGATGAAGGACGGGGTTCCAGTGAGAGAAGGAGCTTCCGGTAGAACTAAAATCATGGGAAACGACGGCTCGACTTTGTACATATCCTCGATCGCGAGGGACGACAAGGGGATGTATCAGTGCTTCGCGAAGAACGACTACGAAATGGTCCAAGCGACTGTGGAGCTGCGTCTAGGGGGTGAATGCATTTTTAATATTTAATCTTTCCATCTGCTCGCGAAAAAGTGCGTGGACGAAACAAGAGAAGATTTTGGTAAATGTCTTTTAAACTTTCTTACAAGATGACAGAATATTGTATCCATACCTTCAACAAGCCAAAAGTTTGTTCGAATCAAAGTTCCTTCGATTTTCTAGTAATATATATTTACGATAGCTAATTTTACATTCGTGAAAGAAAATTTATCTTTGCCATGAGTAAAAAATTTAAGACCAATGAAAACGTATCTCTCGCGTTAACCGAGAAACTTCTCCAGTGCGAGACGCAATACGGAGACACACTAAAACAGAACTCTAGACGGATTAGCACGCCTAAGCGCTCGTAACCGGGTTGCGCAAGTTTCCCCAACTTGTGTAAAAGTTCCGTTGGAAAATAATAAGGCTAAATTAAAGCTATTACCGGGTGCCCTGTTAACTAAGAGCCGGGAGACTGTATCGCGAAAGTTTGGCGACTGGCTGCAGTTTTTATCGGCCGTTGCTAAAGTAAGTCCGTTAATCGCGATAAAAATGTACGTATTACAACCAGCCTTTATCCTGCGTTATCCTTCGGACGAAGTGAATATTTTTAATTAACGGAAAAGTTCGTTCGCGACGAGCGCCGCCGACTTCGTTAATTCGATGACCGTTCATCGCCTGAAACTTCTTTTTCGTTTTCGCGAAAAACTGAAAAGAAGTTACAGAAGCGATTTGTCGCGGATCATGACAATGCTCTTATGCCGAACAATGTTTCTTTGAGAATTAATTCCAAGGATGAGCGAACAACGTTTTCAACAGTCATACCTTAACACTTTCGGAGAAATCAATCTATGTAGATAAATGCATCTGTGTCATCGAAAGATGGCTCCTCATAGAGGATTCCACTTTGTTCTCTTCCTCTATGAATTTTTTGTATTTCGCTCGGAGAACTATAGCTCGTCCTAGATTCCAGAACCACCACGTATACGATCGTGATCGCGTACAAAGGACGTCGAATGCGCTTCGGGAAAATATCAAGCGTGGTATAAAATTCCCGAACGCTTTGCTCTCGGTCAGAATGTCACGTGGAATTCATGCTGCTACCAACGGCGCCTACGACGCTCTTTTCGTCGTTGTCTTCGAGAAATCTGTGGCTCGATCCGTGAATCCAAATTCTTTCGTTGTATCCATGGAACTATTCGTTTCGCATGGATAGATCTCGCCAATGCTCGAGCCCCGCGAAGAGGAAAGGCGGAGGATGCAACGACGACAAAAAAAAAAAAAAAAAACTACCGGCAAGAGAAATAATAAGACCTCGAGTGGAGGCGAAACACGGGATAGCGAAAGACGAAGACGAAGACGAAGGGAGAGAAGGTTGACAGCGAGACGATCGATCGGATGGTACAGGGAGGATGAGAGACCGAGGGATGAAGAAAGTTCCAGCGAGGAGCCTCGAAATAAAAAAAAGTGCTTAACGAGGACGATGCATAATGGAGAAAGGAGAAATCCACTGGCTGGCGTGCCGTGAAATAAATACATACCATTTGTCTTAGTCACGAGAGTGGGAAGCCGGGGCGAGGTATCTACTACATAGCTCGCGAAATGAAAGAAACTCGACGCCTGGCGACGGGGCGTGGAGTAGGAACTGTGGTTCGGTAAAAGTGTTGGTGCTTCTCGAAATTCCCGCGCAAAAACTACTGGCTAGGACGAATGGCGATACGGACGAATACTTTCGTCACCATCTTTAAAACCGTGGAACGAAAACGCTGCTTCCACGTGACCATAATCCATTACCTTAAACGACCCTGTCAGACGACTGTCACACGTGCGCGTACCTACGTACCGACGGCTAGTTTTGTCTTTTCGTCGCCGTACACCGTACCGAAGCATCGAGAGACGAAGACGTTTCTCACCTCCTGTCTGCCCGGATCACCGACGTCGTCCTCGTTTACTAACCTCCTCCATTCGCTTCTTACTTTAGAGGCCAGTCGCACCCTGTCACGAAACGTGGAAACCTTCGACGATGAATTAGTCCTGAAATTCGAAGACGTACCGTAGACTTCAGGGGTATCTCTCTGTGGCGCCAGTAATTTACGTGATCGCTGTACGCTGAGAGAGTCGTGATGCTCAGCATAATACAGGAAATTCGTCATGGGTGGCGTACTCGCATTAAAACAGAATCGTCAAAGGTTCTTGTGCATTTAATATTCTAACGTTAATGAAACGCATGAATACGACACAATTCGCCTAACTAGCTCAGACAGAAAATTTCAGTCGTTATTTACGATGCATCGAACAGGTTCACGGTTACGGCCGTTCGTTTCGCGTCTCTTTAATCACGACCTCCGGGTGTTGGTTGGAGTTCCTTTGCAAGCGGATCCGATGCGTCTAATTTTCACCAGCTTGATAATTACTTTCACGATTTTAACGAAGACGAGAGTTCCGTTTTATTTGTCGAGCGTTGGTAGCTCTCGCAAATATTGAGCTTTGCTCTCCAAGCAAGGTGGCAGAGAAAGAACCGGTGTCCGTTTCCCCGCTATTCAGCATCATTTCCCATTTTATTCGTTTCAACGTAGAGATGTTTAAACGCGAAAAAAAGGACATCGAACGCGGGTTTCGTTGATTATTCTGCGTCCACCGCGGCTCGAAATCGCATTCGATCCTCTGTGCTTTGTAATTTTCGCTTTTCAAGCACCGATAAATCGCGACAAATCGTCGAACGCGGCTTTTTTGTTCGACGATATTCAATTTCCGACTATAACTGCCCTTTTAAATAATTCATGCGTGCCCCGAACGAGATTTGAAAAAGCTGAAGTCGCTTCGACTGCCCATCGCTTTGTGGAACTCGTACTAAATAGAAACGGACTAATCCCTCGATGGAACAAAGGAAAGGAATCGAAGCGACGAACTTTTGTTGCGATAGGGTGCTGACTCGAAACAGAGAACAAATATGTACGCGCAACGCAGGCCGCTTCCATTCGGTATTTTCGCTGTTTTTTGGATTCTTCTCATTTTTATTTCTTCCATTTATTCGGGAAAGCGGAAGCGTTTACGGAGAGCACGTACGACAAGTGAAAAGAATCGGGAGGATAATTGTCTGGATTTCGGTCGGAGCTAAAGCGTTCTGCGATATGTTCGAAGTTGTGGAGTATTTTGCGAAACGGACGCACCAAATACTCAGCCAAACAATGACGAAATTCAAGTACCGTTTTTTGCGCGATACTCGTACATAAATATTCGGACAATCGTCGCTCCCGTAATTACGTCTCCTTGTTTAAAGGAGTCGTGGAAAGAATTCTATAGAAATCGAAGGTAGTTTTCGCGGTAATTGCGCCGCCATATTCGAGGAATCAAAAATTCTCATCCATTCTCGACACTGGCAGCCTTCCATTTTATTTCCACCGCTTTGGCACGTTTACGGGAGGAGGATGTGGCGGGAGGGGTGACAATCACCGTACGGTAAATAATGTCTTCCCGCCGAAGTACCGAAATGCAGATTGCGCCGTGCCGCAACGCGTGATACGCTCTGCTTCGTATTTTATATTTCATTTAAAAAACGAAAAATCTGAATAACTTTTAGGGTAGTCCCACGTGTGTTTCAAGCGTAGTCCGATAGAGAACGCGTCGTTGGGGAAAAACTATTTGAGAAGAAAAAATCGTACAAGGCAATACTTTTTTGGGCTATTGTACGCGGAGGGCAAAGTTTTCGATAGCCAAAGTGCCGATGGAATAACAACAATGAGCAGCCGGTGCCCGTACAATAATACCAGATCCGCAAAACGGGGCGTGGCATTCGGTAATACGGAATCCTGATTTACGCCGCGTACAAACAGCCGCGCAGCTCTGAGCCCCGGTTATTGTCGGCTCTATAATTTGGGGTTAATTCACTAGGCGGCACTCGAGTTCAGGCGTCAAACCGCAGATCGATAGTTCTGCCCGCGTGCAGGGCTTGTCATGTAAATGTTGCGTGCGTAATACGCCGCCTTGCGGCGACCCAGGATCATTTCCACAGGACCTCGGGCCGCTCCTGCCGTGCGTGACCCCGTCCACGCACCTGAGCCTGCCTCTGCACCGATCCACGATTTTCAAATTCCTCTCCGTTGCCTGCAGTGCCACGCGAATTTCTAATCGCCCGCGACTGCCCGTCGAGAAGTAGATCCGAACGATCCTCGTCAAATTAGGTTGCTAAACTCGGTGTCGCGACATTTCGCGAGGAGTTTCGGAGATTGAACTTGTACAATGACTATGCACTCTGTAGAAACAAAATTAGCTCGAGATGATATCGATCGAGACCGTGACTTCTGATGGCACGCGTGCCTTAACATCATCGGAAACGTTCTCTCGAAAGCTAATATTAAGAAAGGAAAAATATATTAAATTATTCGGGTACGCGCGTTTGAGTTTGTCTACGTTTAGCAAGCTTAATTTGCGTTGCCTGGTTCTTCCACGTGTCAGAAGGAGAATACCTAATCGCAAATGCGATGCGCACAAATCCCGAACAATCTGCATGCATTTACCTGTTTATAGCGTGTACCCACGCACCATTAGATTACTTGGAAATCACGATGGATTCTGTGCGAATTCCGGTGCGATCGATATTCCTGTTGAAATTGAAACACGCTGCTCCAGTATAAACGTTACCAGAAATGTCATTTAATTTCCATGCCACGGTGCATTGGTTTGCTGGAGAGACGAACCGCGAAACCATTTAAATTTCACTTCCATTCGCTTCCAAGTGTCAAATTTCACGTTACTTTGAAATTCTCTAGACTTTATTATAAAGCTGCCAACATGTAATATTTATGGCGAAAAGTCGTGTTGGGAAATGTAAGGAATCTAAGAAAATATTTGGTTTAATTGTGCCGCTGACTTTCATTCGCTATAACTTTATAAATATTTTCTGCGACAACCAAACGGTATTTAATCCGAATGGTACGTGTTTCAGACGCCGCGCCTCAGCTTCTATATAAGTTCATCGAGCAAATCATCCAACCCGGACCTTCGGTCTCGCTGAAGTGCATCGCCACGGGAAACCCGACGCCGCACTTCTCCTGGACCCTCGATGGATTTCCCCTTCCGCAGAACGACAGGTACGATATCTCTTTCTACTTCCTAGTGACGGATAGGAAATGTTAAGAATTATGGGCGAGTTCTTTGTGTCTCGCGTGGACTTGGTTCCATTCCGTAGGGAACGTTCCCGACCTCAAAAATCGATGGATGGTGTGTACACAATTATTTTCGGTTATTAAACCGGAGGTATTACGATCGGCAGAAAATCAGACCGGTTCCCCGTTATAACGCGGTTCCCGTGGGAACGGATAACTCCCCGCGGGCTTCCATTCTCTGAACCAATTGAGGGGAAAATTACCAATCAGCCGGTTTCGATCTAAACTTTTTAGGCCTGTTCGATTTAGAGTGACAGATTTGACGAATTCGCGTACGCGCGATTTGATAATGCCATCGCGATCGTTTGCATCGTTATATTTTCCATAATTCTCTCGTGCGTGGTAACCTAGCTATCGCACAAAGTGTAACGATCGTCTTCCTTCCGTAACTTCGTTCAGATCGTTTACGCTTACAGTGCAGCGAACCGCTATTAAAAGTGTGCATTCGTTTCGAGAACACAGAGTCGAATCTCGCGAAGTGTGCAGTTTGTAGCACTGTTATAGCGGGCGGTATTCCTGCAAGACTATCTCAAGATACAATTAATGTCAGCAATAATTCCATCTACCAGAACCCCAATTATACGCGTTCCTTGAATTTCCTGTTCTCCGCGGTTCTTGTACCCATTGTCATTTCTCTGTTCTTGGTTGTATATCCCTCGACATCTGCAACGACCGAATGTTCGCCGGTAGACGCATCCGTACGACAGACTCTGTTATTTTCTGCTGCGGGGCAATATTGCAACATTCGCGAAATACTCGAGCATTGAAATTCAAGGACTGTGTGCACCTAGAAATGCTCGGATAACAATGCCACCCCCTTCTCTGTGCCATGCTCGTCAACGATCTCTAAAATTAACCCAATTAAAGACAACCATACCGAGCGACGAATTTGTCCCATCGGCGAGATGCACGGTTACGTAACGAAAAATCTGTCGATGGTTGTTCGCAGGTTCATGATAGGCCAGTATGTGACGGTGCACGGTGACGTAATATCGCACGTGAACATAAGCGTGGTGCACGTCGAGGACGGCGGAGAATACCGATGCTCTGCGGCGAATCGGGTGGGGAGGATTCACCATTCGGCTCGTCTCAACATTTACGGGCTGCCCCATGTACGGCCGATGGGAAACTATGCCGCAGTGGCTGGCGAAACCACCGTCATCAAATGTCCGGTCGCTGGTTTCCCGATCGCAAGCATCACGTGGGAGAAAGGTCAGTGATCGCGGAGCGCTGCAACGCTCGATGGAAGGCATTAAAACCGATGCTTTCGAAACCCATTTGTAAAGCCTTCTAAAAAGGAGTTGCTCGAAAAATGCTTATCTTACGTATTCTAGTAGGTACGAGTTTTCTGCGTGTAAACCTAAAAAAACGTATATGTTATTCAATATTGTAGTATCGCGCCCGCCATACTCAACAATAAGAAGTGAAACGAGAACTCGAAACGTAGGGTACGGGATTGGTCGTGTAGGTAAAGCAGTCAATTGTGGATCCGAGGATCGTGGCTTCGAATCTCCTTTACCTCTCAAAGTAGAGAAACTATAATAGTTGTCTACTCCTATCTTAATCCGTACCAGTTAAGTCATGGTTGTATAAACAGCTAAGGAATAATTTCTTTCCCGAAAGATAAACCGAAATACGCGCAATAGGAAGTTAAAAAGCGTCTTTTGTACTCCTTTCTTACGATCCAGAAATGGTAACCCTACTTGTAGGTTGAACTTTTCACCATTGCCGCTGGAGAAAGAGAACGACCTATTTGGAAGAGTGAAGGGTGAAAAAGCTGGTTTTGAGTTTCATTCCTTCGAACGAGGAAACTCGAGGCCGCTACCTTCGAGAAGTTGGAACGTTTTCTTTTTCCGGTAATAATGAACCGAACTTCTGGAAAAAGTTTCGAACGATACCGTAACTTTCTCCCTTTTTACGGGCGATGTAGCGCGACCGCTTGCGCGCTGTATCGTTCCTGTGACACTTTCAAAGTCGACCCGCAGCTACGGAAAACGGATTGAAAACTCGACTAGGCGCGAGGCGGCGTGGAAACCAAAGATTCGACACCAAGTGGTTTCGTGCGCGTGAAAACACTTTGTCCACGTAGGCTAAATTTATCGTTCCTAGTGTTGTCCCGGCCCAGTATCGACTATTAATTATTATCTGTCGCTGTTAGTTTACTGTACAAGGACGTAGAAAGGACCTTCTTTCCTTCGTGTATTTATTGCTTTAGTTGATTAATAGTTCTACTTGGCTGTTCGCTTACCAAGTTCGCACTTAACGTACCGATTGTTTCAGTTATTTTGAGCTTGATCTCAAACGGATCTTTTAGTCTCGTACGGTCTAGATTTACAAATTGTCCAAACGATGCGAGAGACGATTCTTCTTCGAATTACAGACGGCAAAATGTTGCCAACGAGTCGACGTCAGGACGTATCCCCGAACGGAACGCTGGTGCTTCATGACGTCGACAGCAACCACGATCCCGGCGCGTACACTTGCACGGCGAAGAACAAACAAGGTCGCTCCGATTCTCAGACGGTTCACATCGAAGTGAAAGGTAAAGTTTCCTCTTCTTTATTCTCCCTTCGGGTTTACCATGTCGCTCCCGAATGATTTTACCCCCTCTCGAAATGGAATAACAGCGTGTTCCTCGCCGGGTATCTCGTCGACGGAGCTGATCCGCTCTGTCAGGATTTTCCGTGTTTCGACAGCGCGGGGTGGCGGCTACATTCCGTCAAGCCAAACGTCGCCCTAATAGCGCTCGTTGTTTCGCCGGTGAAACGCGACAACACGATGTCTTTACCGAGGGAGGTCATTCAAGACCGAACAAAGCACAAGAGCCTGCATTTCGCCCCAAATTGATAGGACACGCTAAGAATCGATACATCGAATCTCTTAAAAATTCGCTCTGAAAAATACTATATTGACATGCTCTATCGTTGCAATCTTTTTTTTTTTTTTTTTTTTTTTTTGACCGAATCAAATTCGAGCGATGCAATTCTAATTGGTCCGGTTTTTTTTTATTTTTAATGAAAATTCGCAATTTCGAATTCGTCGAAAAGTTTGCTCATCGGTAACCCATATCTACAGCTGTGCAAGAAATTCTATCCGGTACGTTTTTCCCGCAGCGAACGAACGCGTCGCTCCGCTCTCTCGTGGGTCTTCGCAAATGAAAATGTTTTTCCCTCGAAATTCGAGTATGTCGTACCACGCGAGAATTATTCGATACTCGACGCGTCGAGCCAAAGTAGTTTTATTATTTCGCCGCAACATTGTCGAGTTACACGATTTCGCGACCAGCGATGCTCGGATCATTCGATACACTCTATTGTTCCATTCGAGAGGGATATAACAGAATAAAATAAAATATGGACGTCCATTGTAATCGATTTGTTCGTGTCCAGTTATAATGTCGATTCGATACGGCCGTAAACTACTCTTGGATTAATAACGGTTTCGGATCGACGATCGTTACGCAGCAATCACGCTGAGCAGTTTTCACAGCCAGGACACGTAAAAAGTGTTCGACAAACTTATCGAACGCAACGAGTAGGTACGATCCAGGGGACTGTGAAGTCGCTTGTAGACTGCTCTTCCATATCGCGATTCGACTCGAGAATCGAAAGGATAATGCCAGGAAAGAAAAGGGAAAAAGAGGAACGAGTAATCGATTTAAGAGGATATGAAATCGCTCGAGTCGTGCTACCGGTTCGCGAGGCCCAGAAAGAAGGGAACGAACAACGCCTACGCGCGACAAGTACGCGTGGCACTATGACGATCGATGGGCGCAGCTATTTAATCCGTGCAAATTAAAATTTCAGAAAGGTTTAATTGGAATTGAATATTATAACTTTGATGAATTTTATCCGTTTTTTGTCCGAGCTCGAGACTCTCGTCCCGCGAGGGTGAAGCCGAGAGGATAAACGTGTTGAAATAAAATGTTTCGTGATTCCTGTAATTTTCAGTACCGCCTAAAATCGATCCGTTTAGCTTTCTTGGCAATATTCAAGAAGGCGCGCGGGTACACGTTACCTGCGTGGTCAGCGAAGGCGACGCACCGCTGAGGATCACCTGGCTGAAGGACAACAGGCCGTTGAAGCCCACGGAGGCGACCACCGATCATATCGGCGAGTTCGCTCTCGCATTGAGGATACAGAGCGCGTCCACAGCGGATAACGGCAACTATACGTGCGTCGCGAGCAACGACGCCGCCGAAACGTCTCGCACGGCATCGCTATTGGTCCACGGTACGCAGGGACGAGCACGGTTTCCGCCGGAACGATTTCTACGTCCCGACCATTTTTCTCGATTCAACGACGCGGTACCTCTACCCGAGGCGCGACGACGTCATCGATGTCGGCAACCCATCCCGGTCCTCTCTCAATTTAACCCGCTACCTTGCATTTAATTTAACCGTTCGCGCCCCGCCGCGTCTACCAGTTCGATCCGCCCCTCGAAGCGTCCTCGACTCGAAGGAATCGTCGACACCGACATTTTTCATATACTCTCGATTCCATTTTTCGACTTTCCAAAAGAAAAAGAAAAAACAACCAACGATGCTACCAACTCCCAGACCGGCGACTCGCTGTTTCTTTTTTTACATACCTCTCTTTCGCTGGAACGTATTCAGCGCGAGCACGGATTACGAATAAATTCGCAATTGCCGGTGACGAGGGAACCTCGGTTGTGCAACCCAGAGGTAAAATGAAGGGAAAAGTGTCCGGGGATCGTCGATATTAATCATCGCGCGGCACTCGCAGGACCTCTCGACCGGGTGAAAGTCCCCGTGTAAAGCGCGCAAGATCAATCGTTGGCGCTCTTCATCCTCGGCCGAGGACTCCGCATCGCGGATCTCCTCTTTCTTCTCCCGCCTCGCTCTTTTCACGCTCGTCTGCATACACGCATACACGGTCGCGCGCGTCCAACTCTTTTTCTCTTCGTTTCGTCAGGACTACCGGCTCCGCTTTTCCTCGTTTTCGTTTCTCTCGTTCGACGGGGCGGCTGGCATCAAAAACCAGGCCCCCCTAGACGAACAAATCAGCGCAAGCGGAACGAACGAAAACTCCTACCCGCGCAGCGAGCCCACGTACAAGGCGAACGGCCTAAGGGCGATTTTAACGTGTTGTGCCGTGACAAGCGGCGAACCAAAACAGCATCCTCGGTTGCACGTGTAGGGGGATGTCTCCGCGCGGATATGTGCACGCATAGTCGCTGTAAAACGGTTCCTGCCTTCTTCTTTCCGCTTGGAATATCAAAGGATTTTCTATCATTTTTCCACCAGCGCGTGGTAAGTAATATTAATAAACTTGGCACAAATTCGAAGGTAGGCATCTCGGAGTTTTAGCTACAAGTTCGACAAGAAAACAAGACGTTTCCGTAAACGTCTGTACCCGGAGCGACTGTATAATCGCTTTGAAAAAACTCGCTCTTTTAACTTGCGAGCGCTTCATAGAACCGTACGATGCTCTGGCTGCACGAACCGTTTTCGTTTGTTCGTTTATCGAAATGTCCGGTCGCATTGCACGCTCTCGGTGCGCGCAGGACTTGCACGCAAAACGCAACTTTTTTGCGCATTACTCGTATGGAGCACCGCGCCATATGCTACCCCTCGTCTCGTACGGTTTCTTGATTATTCTCAAACAACTGTCACGTTCCGTTCTAATACCTCTGGGGCACTAAATATCCTGGCTGAGCCCTTGTACCCTTAGCCGGGGCCAACGAGGCGAGTTATTATCGTCGTTCCGCGACATTGGGTCCAGCCTCCGCGTCGGCTGGAGATCTCGAGCCGCGGTTCGAATCGCAAAATGTTCCAAAAGTGGAGGAATTTCGTTCGTAAACCGACGCGCGCTTCGTTTTTAGCTTCGATTCGATGAAGGTAACGATTATTGGATTATTGGAATAGTTTTAAACTAAAAATCTAGTATATCTATACTCTTTAATTTTATTTCGTCGACACGGAAGGATGTCTGTCCGATCACTCTGTCGTGATTGCTGAGAACAAAAATTTTTTTTCTCGAGTAGCTACCATGGCTGCAAATGTTCAGTTCGTTAGACGTACGACGGAAAATGATCGTCGTCGATTCCGGAGCTTCTTCCATCAACCTGGTCGACTCTTTCGTCTATTTCGACGATAGGTACGACCGATGGGTACATAAAGCAGATATTCTGTGCCACGATCAGGATAAAACGCGTAGTCGTCGAAGTTATTACGAGATAGATATTGAATCGTTCGACCAACCAGGGTTATCCGTGATATCGTCTGGCGCAACGAACCTGGGTCTTTTGATAACGTTAACCATCGAAAATAGGTCCTTTATTCTATTAAGTAGACCGCTACTCGTTCGCGAGATAACCGTATCGAAGCTCGCCGTGGCTTTGTCGATGTTAATACGATCCTATTCGTATAATAGGCCACGCATAATGACGCAAAGCGGATTTGATAAGCAGCGTTGATGTTATCGCATTACATTAGGCCGTATTCCATTACGGGAAGCGTAATAGAAGGTATACGTTCATCTGATGCCATCAATCGTCGTATCCCTAGATTTTGATGAACTCGATGCACCGGGAGCAGCCCTTCGAAGTTACAGAGCTGTTCCGAAATTCCTTCTCGTGCATGTAATATTCATGTTTATGGAAATTAACACTCGATTACGTATACAGTAATAGAGGCTACGAAACACTACAATTAATAATAGGTATCACGGTTTGAGCCGAGTTTTAGTATCTCTGGGTACCCATGATTTGCTAAGAATTACCTAACTCCCGTTTCCCAATTTACACCTGTACCACCAACCCACCGTAACTCTCGAAACATACTCAACATACTCGAGACAAGTAAAAGCACGTCGCTCAGCGGAGGTTGCTTGTCAACAGGAACGAAGATCGGACATCGAGCTACCAATCGTCGCGGGTCAACGAAGCATCGAACCATGGATACCCGCGAAACACATACACCGACACACCGATACCATGCGCTCACAGCTTGATCTTTTTTTATGTGCAGTTCCGCCCACGATAGCCCCCTTTAGCTTTAACAAGGACCTGTCGGAGGGTGTGCGTGCTCAGGTAACTTGCATGGTCGAGAAGGGTGATCCTCCGTTCACGATCGCCTGGTCCAAGGACGGCGAACCGATCGCTGGACCAGGTCCACTTGGATTCGGCAACTCCGGTATGACCGGACTCAGGCACACGCAGACACCCGTTGGGCTGCGCGTGACCAACATTGACGCCCATTCCAGTACCATAGTTATCGAGCGCGTCAGCGCTGCGCACACTGGCAACTATACTTGTTTGGCGCGCAATTCCGTGGCCGAGGTCCGCTGGACGGCCGAGTTGATCGTTCGTGGTAAAGTAGACCGATTAAAATCCGAGCCGCCGGTTAAACGAAAGCTCGTCAAACCAGACTCGTTCGCTGTTTAAATGCCGTTTTCACCACCTTTCGTTTACACGTTTTTTCTTGCACCACGCAGCGCACCTTTGTCTATCTTGTCGATATCTAGTCCACGTACGAGGCATCTATGCGGAAACGGGAACCTTTGATTCGGTCCCCTCTGTCGTCGAACGAAAACAGCGTCGTTCGGTGCTGAGCGTTCAGTGAATTCGTATGGATAAACGAAGGCACGTGACAAATGTTTCCACGAGTCGCGTTCGTTTGGAGTATTCGATATTTCAAGCTCACCTGTCTCGTTATTTAATTGACCGACGCGTTGTCGCCTAAACTGTTCGAAACGCGAAAGAACGCACGGTTGGACGTTTTCGAAGAACTTGTTCCAAGTAGAAATAAACTGGCATCGTTATCGAGAAGCAGCAATCTATCGATAATCGAAATAGAGTTTCTTGATCGCTGTCTCGTATCTCGAACGACAAACGGGATGATCGGTTGGTTCGTTTCCGATGGATGACCCTGTATTCGTTTATATTCTATATTGTTAGTGTAATCACTGTGTAATTACGCGTGAACGCAGCCGTGCAGCCGCAGCCGCAGCCGCAGCTAACGCAGCGCGTATACGGAGTATCTAGCATGAAATTTTTCATCCGCCTAGGGCTGCGAATTTGTTCGCGACAGATTTATATTCGGTCGCGATAGACTCCGTTAAAACCTCGTGTAACGTTAAAACTCGCCTATACTATGCTTTTATAATTACGACAATAACCTACGATGCACCATTTATTGCACTTTCCGTATATTCGTAAGATACGGAGATCATATATACCGCAAAAGCTAGGGGAATCAGTGTCGGTATTCCGTAAAATTTGTTCTAACCGGATTGGACTACGGTCGATCGATAACTCCTTCGCGCACGAATGCCGGAGCGCGATAAATTGAATAAAAAATAAAGTAAAATAAAATAAAAAAACGCAGCTCTAGAATCAAAATACATCGGTGGACGATCCGCGTAAAAATGCAGCAGCAGCCGCTCAGCCTGCAACGCGACGCACCAACGCACTCGAGCACCGCACAACACGATAGTGTTTCACCATGGTTCACCGTACAGTTTGTCTATATAGTTGTATATTTCACAGGCGCACCGTCTCTGAAATCGCACCGCTCTCATCTTCAAGTTCGACGAGGTACCGCGATCCCGCTCTCCGATGTGTCTATTCGACCAAAAATATCGAACGTATCAAATGAAAAAAAAAAAAAAAAAGAAATGAAACTACAGCAATCTCGATCGACGGTGGACGGATAGTTCGCAACACGAGTGCCTATCACACGGAAAGCTGCGATCGCGGTACCCTCCGAAGGAGAGGGATTCTGCATGAAAGGGCACCAGCCACTTTTGCGAAATTCGGCTTCGCGTAGCACCACTTCGTCTTGAATCTTGTACGAGTTCACCCAGCAGCAACAACAGCAGCAGCACCAGACTCGAAGTTCGACTTCGAGTGCCGACTCTCGGCTCGTTCACTTAATCAGCACACGCATATATGCACCGACACCTTCCATTCGTTCGATTCTTCCCCTCCTCTTTCTTAATTATTCCGCTCGGTCGATTGTTGAGGACCGATTCCTTTCTCGCGACACACCCCTTATTGTTCCACGGGAAACAGCACCCAAACCGTTTCTGGAAAGCCGCTTAGCCGGGGCCAAAGGCGGCTCCAACTCAGGAGGATTCGACCTTACGTGGCGAATAATTAATTCCATCGAACCGTCTCGAGTCCTCGTGAATGTTTTAGTTCCGATGCACCGCGACAAACTATCCGAAAGAAACGCGCAACGGCGAGGATCGGCCTTCGAAAAATTATTCGCCACGTACGACTGTTCCGTTATTCGTGCAACCACGATAATTGCCCGGCGCAAATATTTGAGTAAAACGCACAAAAAAAAAAAACCTTGTTCCTCACCGCGTGTATGTACGCAACTGCACAATCACCGCATTGTTCTTTAATCGAAATGTACGCACAGCACTAATTTCTGCATTCTACTTCACTGTGGTTTCCGTCTCGTGTTTATTCTTTGCTCGGACCTGTGTCTATCACGGATCGAGAAAATCGTCGAGTATCGCACCTTCCGTTCTCACCTCCCCCACATACCCCTACCGTTTTTCTATCTTTCTTCGCGTCACCTTCCTCTGCTCCTGTCTTGCCTTCTTCTCGCGACCGAGAGACGAGGAGAGTTCGAATATTGCCAAGTTAGATCATTTTTAATATCGTTTTCTTTGAATGATCTATTTGTTTATTCATTCAACGACCGGTACGATCCGCCAAAGTTTCTCCCTCAGTCGGATCTTTACGGAAAGAAAACTGTCCTCTCTCCCAGTCTCTCTCTCGCTCCCTTGCTCGCGCGCGCACTCTTAAGTCACGTCTTTTGTTTCACTTTGCGCTAAAGTAGGAAGTTGCAGTAGGCCATTTCGAGAACTTCGCTCTTGCCTTGGCGCAATAAGCTTAGATACGAACGCGGTGGCATCCGGAAGCGTTGCTTTCCTCCAAATAATACCGTCCTCGGAATATCTTTCTATACAATGAATCCTCGCGGCACCAGCTACAATCCGGGTCGTGCCACCTAGAGCGGAAAGTGGGTTAAGTTTAATTGCTATTTAATTAATAAGGCCGCCAACCTGAATGTCTGAGGCTCGGCGCAGAAGCTCGTTACGAGGATCGGAAAGCGGCGATTTTTAATATGTGTCGACTTTTGCGGTCCCCGTTAACGAGCCACTGTCCACAGCCTTGAAAACGAAGGATGGCGGTCTGACGCCGAGGCTCGTGAGAGACCGGTTTCTGACCAACTCTGGGTTCGATCAACGAGCGACCGTTTGGGTTCAGAGGTACGCGAAGCTCGTGGAAATTTTCCAAACAGGCCACAGTCGCGATGATTGCCGTCGGTGCAAAATGGAGAAAGAAAAGGAAGGTGGAGGTTCGCGGGAATCCGATTAAAAACAGTCGAAATCTGCAAGTAAAATGGGAGGGAAACCAGACGACGAAATTTCCAGATGCCACCGTCGTTGGCGCATAGAAACTCATCGACGCGGGGGTAACTAACGACCGGTGTTACGAAACAGTGCCACCCCGTTGGGTGATGGAGCCCCAAGATGTTCGCGCTTCGGAGGGAATGTCGCGGCTGGTACTCCACTGCCACGCGGACGGGTTTCCGCCCCCAGCGGTCACGTGGCGGCGTGCGAGCGGCAAGAACCCTGGCAATTATCGCGACATCGTCGCTCACGAGCACGCTCAGGACCTCAGGATACACTCGAACGGCTCCCTGGTGTTCGGCCGCGTGCAGGAGGATCACGAGGGATTCTATTTGTGCGAGGCGGTGAACGGAATCGGCGCCGGCCTCAGCAAGGTCGTGCATCTAACCGTCAACGGTAAGAAGCGACGTAATACGGCTGCATGACAAATTTCCCAGCGCTCGTTCCGCGAAAGGGTTGAATCTAGCAGCCCGTCTAACGTTCTTCCACGTTGTTATGAATTGGTAATACCAAACGATTACCATTCGACGCTGAAAAAAAAAAAACAAATCTTCATCCTTTTTCGAGCTGGATCCTCGCCAGCCGAAAACTGGTTATTGCTATTCCGGATTATTCCACACAGTGCCCGCACAGTTCATGGAGAAACATCGCAATCAAACGGCGAGGCTCGGTTCGAACGCCTCGTTGCGCTGCGAGGCGAAAGGCGATCATCCCTTAAAAATACTTTGGAAAAAGACTGGCGCGCAGTTGGAGCAGAAGCTGTCGGACTACCGTTACACGGTAAAGGACGAGAATATCACGGACGGCACCATCAGCACTTTGGGATTCATCAGCACCAGCCGGGAGGACAGCGGGAAGTATTTCTGCATCGCGTCGAACGCTTTCGGCCGCGACGAGATGACGATTCACCTGTACATACAAGGTAAACACCTCTTTCATTCTTTACGCGTCAACTACGTTCTTCCGAATTTTTAGCCATAGAGAATTATACGAACGATCTTCGACATCGGCGTAACGATTCGCGTAAATCGAGCCTCGATATTTCACGAGAGAGAGAGAGAGAGAGAGCTGTACAATCGGGTATACGTTGAACCGATGCGCAGATTTTAAAGTTTGTAGTTACGTCGAGGACGTTCGATAATCCCCGGTAACAACGTTATCGACATAATGCGTCGAGTCGTTGCGCTGCGCCGGAACAATTTCGATAATGTTTCCGGGTTCTTGGTATTTGCATATAACGTTTGTCGCGTTGCGCGTAATTACCGTAATGTATATACCGACGGCCGGGAATTCGTCCATATAATTTAATGCGCTTCCGCACAAGTGCCAACCGTGTACGCTATCAGAAGGGATAACCGCGCGTGACCACGACCGCAGAATAAAATACGCTGCGCGTTGCGTATTCAGGGGCCTTTTCGTGATCCTAAAATTAACCGATGGTTCGTGATGATTTATTTTCGCTGTATGCCTCTATTCGCGTTTAAACAGCAAACTTCTAAAGCGATGTTTTGTAAACCGATTAACCGCAGAACCGCCGGATTTCCCACGGAATCTTCACGTTATCGAGAAGGGTAGCCGCTACATCAACATCAGCTGGACGACCAGCCAGGACGGCAACAGCCCGATTACGCAGTACATTGTCGAATACAAAACTGACACCGGCAAGTAGACGCTTTCGTTCGGTAATTTCTGACAAAGTGAAACTCACAGAAACGAAAATGAACACACGGGAAATGTGCGCGTCGAGGTACGACTTTCGTACACGTTCGCGAGTCCTGTACTTATCCTTTTGGCCGCTAAGTGGGTAGAGATCATTCCTACGATAAGGGTACTCGACTCTTTACGTACCCTTGCGAACCTGTTGAAACCCGAGAACTACGTACAAGAAATTTACATATTTAAGCTCGTCAGACGTAGTTAGAATATAATGTACACACTGTCGCTCGAAAGTTAAGAGCGTTCTTCGATCATCTTTCGCGGATAGGTAAGCGTTTCGCTTAAAATGTAAACCATGCGTAGCGATTAGACATCGTTCGAGTACAATTCACAATTTAGAAAAGTCCTCGAATCAATTTTTTTTTTTTTTAATTTCTATTTCCCGTGAGTGCTAGCTCGAACAGCCCCATTCGTCGATGACGCTGTCTGTTAGGATAGTCGAACATTCGGATAACAAAGTTTCTACCATGCTTCGAATTTGTCTTTTCTCGTAATGGAAGTGATTCGTTTTACAGAAGTGTGGCACGATCACACGTTCCACGCTACAGTGCCAGGTACTCAAGCTCACGCGCACGTGACCGGTTTGCGTCCAGCGGTCACTTATCAGTTTCGAATATACGCCGAGAACGAATTGGGTCGAAGTCAGGCGAGTGATGTAAGTATTACAGTTCGATCTCGATTGCCATACTTGTTGCCATTTTCGACGCAATCAGCCCCTCGCGCTACGAAAACCTCGACTATTGCAAAGTAACCAATTCGACGAGGAGTAGCTCTGCGCAATGCAATCCCGCTTGTACCCCAATCTTACTTGTTGCTTAACGACTATTGCTTCCACTTGTTGGCACATCTCAGCGAACGATTAACGTTCTCCATCCTTTCGGTCGCTTGGGACTGAAGATTGCTGTTTCGTTAAACATTGCGATAATTGTTGCATATCCGCGATTCGTCTTCCCTTTGCAGATTTTGGAAACGACGACCGAAGGAGAGAAACCTGGTGGACCGCCGCGAAATCTCAAGGTAGACCCTGTCAGCTCGACCGAGTTTAACGTCACCTGGGATCCGCCTGAACATAATTTATGGAACGGAGAGATACTCGGATATCACGTCGGCTACAAGGAACATCGGTAACGACCCAAATAAATTACGCGATAGCGCCAAATACGTTTGCTATGTATTTTATCATTCGAATCTCGGTTCTGTCGCTCGATCGACCGATTCTTTCCCCTCTGGAGTATCATTGCAACTAAATTTAAGCGTGATGTCCAGAATGGAAGCGGACCAGTATATCTACAAGACCGTGGAGAGACGGATTTCCACGGCCAGCGTGGCCTTAGGTCTTGCGAGGACCTCGATGCCCGGCAGGCAATACCAGCTGACCAACCTGAAGAAGTTTACGCGTTACAGCGTCGTGGTGCAGGCTTACAACGCTCTTGGCCAAGGTCCTATGACGCCGGAAGTAGTTGCGACGACGCTGGAAGACGGTAAGGAAACATACTATTTTTTTACTATTTGGTGTAATTTAAAACAGCAACCTATATTTCCCTTGTTACTAACAATTTTCCTACTCGATAATCGACTCGCTGACAAATACTCGAAATATCTGCTGGAATAAATTGAAAAAACTATCGTGTCCATCCGCGACCCGAATATTTGATCCAGGATCAATGTTTGAAAGTCAAGTATCGCGGGGTCGTCGTATTAGCAAGATCAGATTTACCGAATACGATTCGGTGGCGCTCAAAAATTCATGGACGGAATAATACTCGTGGCTGGTGAGCCTATCACGGATTCCGCCATGAATACCAACCAGCGTATATCCGGTCGAGTTTCGAATAAATAATAAATTCAGGAGCGAGAACGAACCCGGCTGCCTGAAACTGATCTGCTTGCAAATAAGTTCTTTAATCCAGGCGCAACGCTGTGAATGCGGCTCGGTTAAACTCCGAAGTGCTTTCCAAGCGTCAAACTTCCACGAGAAGCGTTTCTTACGGATATTCTGCGATTTCGCGAAATAAACAGATTCCACGTTAAACCTGTCCACCATTCGCGTTTCTAGCTGAATTTCAAAGTAGTATCGGTGATGTCAGCCGAGATCTCTTCGAGAATTTAGGGGGTGCTCCCTACTCTACCGCGCAAGGGAATCGATAAAATCGATTTAGTGTTTTATTACGTTTGGAAAGCTACGGAGATTAAAAATTTGTCTGGGAAATTGCTTAACGATATTTTCGAAGCGAACGAAGTTACACGACACGTCGTTAAACTCGTTAAGTAAATACATACGATTTTTGCCGGGAGCGAAACAGCCTTTACTCTTTGACATTTTTCATTAAAAAATTGAAAAACGATTCTCGAACTTGTACATCTTACTCGTGCTCATAGGTAGAAGTAACCCCGCTACTAGAATACAGCATATACGAATGCTAAATAAAAGGAAGCAAATATTCTAAACAAGTAAAGTTGGGAAAATTTCTACAGAGTACGGAGAGTGATCGCAAAAAAAGTTGGATATACATGTCCTTCGAATTTATAAACACTGCGGTGGCAATCTTGTTTATTTCTAGAGTTCGCTCAAAGAGAAAACTGCCGCGTACGTTGCTTGTACATCGTTACATCGCGGAAATAACGAGGCAAAGTTAGACCTCGTTCAACTTTTCCCACCAGAAATTCTTTCCATCCGCGTTCGACGTTTCTCAGTCGCGTGACCGAATAGGTATCGCGGACCCGATGACAGGATTACGCTGTTATTAATTTCTGTCGTCGTCGAAATGTCGTCAGTTCCGAGCAGTCCACCCCAAGACATACGATGCACGGCTCTCTCCTCGCAATCGCTGCAAGTCTCCTGGGAGGCACCTCCCGACTCCAGTCTAAATGGAATCCTGAAAGGCTACAAGGTCATATGGGAGAACATGGACGCCCTGACCGAGTCCACCAAGTCGGAGATGAAGATCACCAGTGCCTTGACTGTCGTGATTGACGGCCTCGGGAAGTACACCAACTACTCCGTCCAAGTGTTGGCTTCCACGAGGGCTGGAGACGGTGTCCCGTCCGTGCCGCTGCATTGCGTCACCGAGGAGGATCGTCCAGAGGTGCCGGCGGGTGTGAAGGCGGTCGTCAGCTCCGCGACATCAATTATCGTGTCCTGGCAGCCGCCCCTCAGAAGCAACGGGAACATCACGTCGTACAACGTTCATATTCGCGGAGTCGGCCCCGAGGGAAAATGGTACAGGCGGGCGCTTTCGCCGCATCAGACCAGCTATCAGGCTGAAAATTTGCACAAGAGGAATCAGTACGAGTTTAGCATCGCCGCCGTCACCTCGGTGGGCGAGGGACCGCAGACTCACCCCATCACGATCTCGCCTTCCAGCGAAGGTAAGTCCTGTATTAAAATTCCGACTGTTACAATTGTTTTTTGATATTTTCATTTATCTCAGTTCGCGCGGCGATATACTCCTTCGGCACTGTTCTGATCGTTCCCTGGAAACAAGACGCGTTGCTACCGTGCCAGACCGTTGGAAAGCCGGAGCCGTCGGTGACGTGGAAACAATGGGGCCAGATAGTGAAATCGTCCACTAGGGTGTCCTTGTTACCGGAAGGCTCGTTGCAGATTATGGATCTTCACAGGGAGGACAGCGGGAACTACACCTGCTACGTCGAGAACCGTTATGGTTCGGATCAAATAACGCATCGTCTGACCGTGCAAGGTGCCCACTTTCGACTCAAACTCTTTCTACCAAACACGTAAACGTTACATTCTTTATGGAAAAACATTGGATAACAAAAATAACGGTGACTATCTTGGCGATCTTGCAGTTCCACCAGCAGCCCCGTTACTCCACGCTACCAGCGCTACCAGCAACTCCATCAACGTCCAGTGGAAGAACGGCGACGACGGTGGGGCGCCAATTAGGGGCTACATTCTCCATTACAAACGAGAATCCGGCGAATGGGAGGAGATGAAGGTTTCCCACAAAATCAACAGTTACGTGCTCTCGCGGTTGTGGTGCGGCAACGACTACCAAATGTACTTGACGGCGTACAATCGGATCGGTATGGGATCGCCCAGCGAAATCGTGAAAGCCACGACCAAAGGCTCGAAGCCTGACGACTCGCCCAGCAACGGTGATAAATTCGTAACGGTGAACGTGTCGTGGATCACTCTTCATCTGAACATGTGGAACGACGGGGGATGTCCGATCACTTACTTCGAGCTGGAGTACAGGAAGAACGGAGAAGGCATTTGGACGTTGGTGTCGAATAACATCGAGGTACAAGCAACTTGAAAAAATAGCTCAAACGCGCATCGTCTGTAATATTAAAGAGGGTATCGGGCCGATCCATGAATTACTCGAAACACTCGATTCGATTCGATTTCACTAATAGCTATGGCATTCGTTTTCCAGGTACAGAAAACGTACACCCTCAGCGAGCTGCAATCCGGAACGACTTACGACATCCGAATAAGGGCGCACAATAACGCGGGGTTCTCGGTGGCCGAATACAGGATAACGACTCTGCAGCCTCACACCAGCAGCACGATACCGGCTGTGGAGATAGATCACTTCATACCGCACCACACGTCCGTCTACTCGGATATGAAGCTCATCATTCCCCTGATCCTGAGCTCTCTGGCGGTCATCGCCGCCGCTGGTGCCGTATTCTACTGTTTCCGGAAACGTTAGTAGATACCCTTGGTGATTAAGGCCCACTGTCCACGAAGCGTTATATTTACGTTGCCGATGCAGCGACGCCTCCGTGGACAGTGGGCCTTACAGGCGTAGTTGCGAAAGCACCTCGCGCGTAGGTCCACGGACCGCAACGTTTAATGACGATGACCGTAGGTCCGTTTATAGGGGAAATCGCTAGCCTCCACGACGCCCAAACCGCGGCCGCCTTAGACAATAAGCAAAACATGGAGCAGCGCGAGCAGTATTACGCCACCGTGCGTAAACCTCTACGCTCGCCGATACACGAGATGGCTACTTTGGAAAAAATTCCAGGTAAATATGATATCCGTACTTTATTTCATTCCTCGATACAATGACAGATTATTGACAGGCTCGAGACTGATCAAGGATGAAGTGCCGTTTAAAAAAATGATTTCAGAGTACTCCGAGGACATTTACCCGTACGCCACGTTCCAACTGGAGGAAAGCGTCCCGCCAGGAGGCGACAGCCGCTGTAATTCCGCCGCGCCTCTTCAGACCTTCGTCTATCACGATCCTCGACTATCCACCGCCGACACTCTACAATTACGAGAGGTATCGTCCGCTCTTCAGTTCGCTTTTGTCATTCACGATTGCTTCCCACCATTCACCTATCGCAACTACGCAACCGAGAGCATCGAGCTAGTGCGAAAACACACACTTGTATACGTACACCGCATGCTGTTCCTTCGTCCAGGCACGCAGACGATCTCGTACAATCGGGACGACGTTCAATTATTTCGGATAGAAGCTCGTACGTCGTGTACACGCGTTTGCGTTTCTATTATAATAACTCACTGATCGTTTAGAGCTTTTGCACATGGGATCAGTAGTATACACTGACGTAAAGTCCATCGACAACATAGTGTTACGTACGTACATACGACCTTTTATCTCTTCCTAAAAGAAACTTTCCTCTTAAACTGGCCGCAGACGTAAGGATGTACGTTGAGTCGAACGGTGTATAATTGTACAAAGTACTGTATACAAAAATTGTTGCGTCTGCGGCCCTCGTTAACGCTTCGCTTACTTCCTACCAACGACATTATGTGTTGTCCCGAACGAACAAAAGTACTAAACGTTAACGAACTGCGTTGAGCGTTGGAGGGGAAGGATGTACAAATTCGCTTCAGCATGTTGCACCAATTTCTGCTCCACGCGCGACAACACCGTTGCAATCCCAATCGCACATTGCAATTCGCGCGCACAACCGCCTGGCTTCGGGGATTGTTTAGAAATTGTCATCGGCACGACGATTGTTTATATTTTTTTCCCGCGACGTCGAATAAGAGACGTTATCGAGAAACGTCGACGCGAACACGCCGACGGCGACGGTTGCCGTGACAATTTAGCAAAAGACGCAGTAGAGACGCGCGGATCGAGTAGAACAGGTGTGCATCATATCATAGCGAATCGATCATTGTGACTGCTGGTCCCACCTTGCTTCGTTTCGCATCTGTCCTGATCAGTCCATCGAGGAACCGCAACACCGACGCAAGCGATACTTCTCACATGTATATTCGCCATTCTACACATATCTCGCCAACTGGTATCATAGTTTAGCTGTAGTGTAAGAGACAAGTGCTCTCTCTGACGGATCATCTTGTGCGACTGTGTTTTCGTTGTTCGATAACGCATAGAGAACCCGGGTTGAAAAATTAGTGCTCCCTTAACGAGGAAAATAGGTTTAGAACTACGTTTTTTTTTTTTTAGCGATTTGCATGAATTTTTTTTAGCAAGAAAGGAATGTATATGATTCAATGAAGCTTTGAGAACATTTTATGTATATATATATTCAAGTAAATATTATCATTTTTTGTAAGTATTTACTTCCAAAAAATTACAATATTTATTTGAATACACGTATAAAATGTTCTCAAAGTTTCATTAAATTATATGCATTCCTTTCTTGCTAAAAAAAAATTCATGCAAGACACTAAACAAAAAACATAATCATAAACCTATTTCCCTCCTTAAACCTTCGAATTAAAGATGTTTCGAGAACCGATTTTAGTTGTAAGTTAATACTTCTTTGCGGCTCTGAATAGACAGGTGTTCCCAACTTTACTCAAGGCGTGAAGCAACGATTTCTCGTACGGTAATAGGACTTAACCGAGCATCAATTTCTCGATTCGTAAAGACTACGAATCTATGACGGAGTCATCGACGAAAGGATCGACTCGGAAGACTTACCTCTGACACGCAAGGCGCGGAGTAGGGGTTTCCTCTTTCCTGAAAGTTCTTCCTCCAGCCAAGCCGATTCTTTCGTTGACTCTAGCGTAGATCGTTAAATCTCGTAGCTGCCACGGGCGGATGATCGTTGAACGAGATGATATCGGTGTAGCGCGTCTCCTCGTTTCCTCGTGCGATGTGCCAATTTATCGAAAAAACAATTCCGTCTGATTGCAGTCGGATTGCAACCGGTACACTAAGGTGCGCGGAGGCCGTTCGTCCTCTGCGCAGTTGCACAAAACGCACAAAGTCAGTCAGGGCAAGTCCGAGTCGGAGGAATACGACACCCTGGGCTCGGATAGCGACACGGAAGTCGGGACCAGCAGCCGAACCGAGTCTTCCAATCACCTCGTCGATTCGCACCACTCGGTGTCTGCGGCCGACTCGCGTGTCCACAGTATGCAATCTTTCATCCTTCTATTCGGTTTACGCCTTTTCTATCTTCTTTTTCCGTCTCTCACTTTCTGATCTGTCTGGTTGGTTGGATCCTTTCTGTCTCGCGCGCTTCTCGCGCTCCTTCCCGGGATCTTTTCGTTCGACGATATATTCCTAGACAGCGACGACAAAAGAGGAGGAGAGAGGAGCGCCGCGAGACAATTCCACGCACCGCAATACCACCGGAATATGTACCATCCGTTCCCGTTGCCTGTTTACGTTCGTTAGAGTGCACCGAATATGTGACCGAGCATTCGCAAGCTTGTTGTTCGTAACGCGAAACGCCGCGTCGGAACGAGATCGGGGAAATAGAACGGTACGGGGACGCTCATCCCCTCGTTCGCTGAGGAAAACCGCTCCATTTTCTGTTCCCAGACTTCCTGTACCATGGACCAGAATCTAGCACGTCTACAGAACCCTCACCGATTTTTGAGAGAAAATCGTTTCCTGGAAGGGGAAGACCCAAGTGAGTACGAAAACAACGTTACTTTGTAGGCGGTAGGTAGTTCGTGATCGATCACGAATGGAAAATAATGGATCGTGTGTCCGATCAGGATGTTACAGTTGGCGCGTCATACCAGCGAGGAGACCCGTTCCAACTTCGGCCCAATCTCCGGGCTTGGCAATCCCAAGCACCAGTCGAGCAATTCCTGTTCCAATCGGGACCAGGAGCGTGACGGATCCGGAAGCCTGTTCATCCCCAAGCTGGACCCACCCACGGGGTTCTCCGACGCGTTTGAGCTAAGCGAGGCCGAATGCGACCTCGATCGCGGCCACAGTAGCCAACGAAACGTCCGTGACTTCGTAATCGCGGTGTAAATAAGCGTAAAGCCTACGACGAACCCCTCCTTCACACGATGCTGCGCGCGAAACTACGAAACGAACGAAACCCCATACAAACTTGCATTGTAAGGAATAAGAGTGAAAGAGGAAGAAAGGAGTGGAAGAAACCGTGGTCCGTCTTTCGTTAATTACACTGGCCACCGTCTACTGGGGCCACCGAATAATGTACTCCCACTGTTCGTGTTCCTGGCCTACGTTGATAAAAGGGTGTCGGTCGTTATCCTAGCGAGAACGAACACCCACCGACTCGACTATGTGTTCTTTTGAACTGCCAGTTCGTTCGAATTTCCGCGAACCCGCGACCGCGCGACACCGCCGTTCGCTTTCGGTATACCTACATATATGTATTTTTCGTTCCAGGGACTTGGAGCGAATCGCGCTGTCCCTCGACCGTGGCGAGAACTCGATCGGGATTAACGTCTTCGAACGTTCGAGTTATCCCTAACGAACAATTTTTTCAACCGCTGTTCCGTTCTAAAGGCAACAATTATCGTGTAAGAAATTCTACGCGTCCTACTCGAACAAGCAGGATTCTTTTGCTGGCCGTCGAAATAACATTCGATGCTATCCTTCGAGTTCGATTACGCTCCTGGATAAAAAGACAGCGCGTGCTGTTCCGTTGTCCAGAAACGCTGATCCTCCTTCGTACGTGTAACATTTCACTGCGAACGATTCGGAAAACAACTTCCGCTAAACACTCCTATTATACATACTTATACGTAACGAAGACTCGAATCGTTTTCGATTAACACGTCGATTAACGCGAATCGTCCTATCGTTAAGACTAGATTCCGGTAAGATCACGGTAAACGATTTCATCGTATCGAGTGCATATCCCAGCGAGCAATACGCGGTTTGTTACGTGTTTACTTGGTCTTCCAATTCCGTAGATCGTTTTATCTACTCGTTTTATCCATTACGAACGTCGTCCTTTTTCACGCGCGACCGATACTCGCCCGGCGCGATACAAATCGATGCGATCGTCGTCCCGATGGAAGCCTGCGTGCGGTTTTGTTCACGTTTCCACGAGGAACGATGTGTTATACGTGTATAAAGTAAGAAAGTAACGAAGACAGACGAGAGAGAAATAAAGTGAAAATGATAATTCGTCGTTGTCATCGGTGTCGTTTCAATTCCAAGAGACTGAAACGTTTAGTAGCGAGACGTATAGCGTTAAACTTACCGTTGAAAACAGAAAAAATAAAAAAACAATATTGTCTGTAAGGTGTCTATACTACCATGCTATCTGTACGTACGTGTACCTCGCCCAAAAGCGCGAACGCGGGATACGAAACGTACCCGCGTCCTCGATACCGCGCGTCGATTAACGATCGACGGACCGATCAGATGCGATATGGAAACCGGAAACGGCAAAATAAAAGGAGCGCCGTTGAGATATTCGACCGTCGTTGTAACAAAAAATGATAAATAATACGGGAAACCCGTCGAGTCTATGCATTCGTTGCCATCGAATCAGTTCACTGTTTACTGCCGATCGACCGTTCACTCGGCAATGCGACGATGATTTTTGTCTCGTGTTCTCGTTATGTCGGAACCCGGGTCCACCCTTCGATACCGCGGGAGACAAAAGAAGAGATATGGATCTGTTGACAAATCGTATACTTTATAATATATGAAAATGATTTACCACGAAACTCGTACTATTGTGTTTTAGACGACTTTAGATTGTTTATATTCTATTTACTTTGTAAAATATACAACACTAATTCCATTAATGGAACCCCCACCGTCTCTTTCATGTTCTCATCCCTTCTCCCGTTCATTACCACCGATATATTTTCTCACAATATAACAGCAAAAAGAAAACTACCTCTCACAACTATCGCGCGTACCTGCTTCGGTCATCTTTACGATGAAAATCTTGCGAAAGCTTATTTCAAGCATATAAAAGCAAGAACAACGAAACCTGTTACCTTCCACTTCAAGACTGTACGATCGAAAACAAAGTAACCCGTTGTTCTTCGACAATTCAACCTTCTGGTTTAGTACAAACTTTATCGTTAAACAAAATGCCCCAATCCGAGTTTCGGTCAGCTTTCGAGGTCAACTACCCCTTCGTGCGTGTCGCGGAAGTGCTTTGGCAAACACGCTGGTGATCGATCGTGTTTTACGTTTCATCTGATCGTCGATTCGGATATGCATAAGGAGGACTATAGGGAGCCTCGCAGAATCCTCGTTGCAAGTTCGAGGGAGGAGGGGGTGGTGTGTATGGACCGGTGAGGTCGAAGAGGGTTGTCGAGCATGCGCGGATCGCCCGTTTCTCTCAGATACTATGAGCGGTGGTATCTACGGTGGAGGTATGTGCTACGCTGCTCGCATTTTTCACGATAAAAAACGTGGTCTGGTCGGTCAAGGACACGGTTAACCGTTACGATTTTCCCGCAGACGAGGTTGGTGCTATCATTTTCGACGTTGGACACCAAAGCCTTCGCGTTGGTTATGGCGGTGAGGACACTCCAAAGGCCGAAATTCCGACCACCCTCGGGATATGGGAGGACACCATCGAAACACCAGACGGCACACCGACTGTCAGGAAGCACTACAACATCGACGTCACGGCTATTCAAGTGCGAAAGAAGGGTAGGTTTCTAATCGTAATAAACATAAACTTACATCAAATAATTGTTTGACTTCGTGTTGTTCAATCGAATGAAATGCGAAGATATCGAAGACACGAGAAGTTTACTCTACCTAAAAAAAAAATATAACAAGATCGAAGTAACAATGAAACGAAACGAATTTTCATCTTGTTCACAAGAAGATAACTTCAACACAATTTTTGACTTCTCTATAAGAACATTTTCGCGGCTTTAACATACGTGTTATACCGCAAAATGCAACGAGATCGTCGAAAGTCGCCTTTCCACAAAATTGTTAGTATCTCCTGTCGAATGAATTAATTACGAATGATCTCGTCTAACTCGATCGCTTCTTCCGTAGATATGGATTTGATCAGCCTGATGCAGGACGGCATGATCGAGGGTTGGGATATGTTCGAGCGCCTAACAGAGTACGCCTACAAGCAACGTCTGCACGCACTCCCGGAACACCATCCGATCCTGATGACCGAATGCCCCTGGAACACCAGGCTGAAACGTGAGAAGCTACTGGAGCTGATGTTCGAGAAGTTCAACGTTCCCGCCATGTACATTTGCAAGAACGCGGTTCTAGCGGCTTACGCGAACGGAAGATCGACAGCTATGGTCGTCGACAGCGGCGCGACACACACGAGCGCGGTGCCCGTACACGACGGCTACGTCATCACTCAAGGTATCGTCAAGAGTCCTTTGGGAGGTGATTTTGTCACCATGCAGTGCAGGCAGTTCTTCGAGGAGAAGGACATCGAGCTGGTGCCCGCCTGCCTGGTCGCTAGCAAAGGTAAATCTGTTTTTAAGCGTTTAAATAGATGAAATTCGTTCAATGATCGCATCGTAGTAGCATCTACTTGTGTTCCACTAGGTTTCTGTATCATCTAAAGTGGAAAATATGTTTAATAAATTACGCAGACATAGTCCGAGAGAGAGAGACGCCACGTTGGGTAAGAAGACCAGGACCCCAGCCGTCGTCTTCCTGGCTGAGCTATATGGTCCGAGAGCTCCTGCAAGACTTTCAAATGAACTGTCTTCAAGTTTCGGACAGCCCGTACGACGAGGACATGGCCAACGCCCTGCCAATGAAGCACTACGAGTTCCCAACCGGTTACAACGACGATTTCGGCTCGGTGAGGCTGATGATCCCCGAAGCGCTATTCGACCCGAGCAACGTGAAAGGTGTGGGTGCGAGTATTCTTGGCGTTGGACCATTGGTCACCACGAGCGTGGGCATGTGCGACATGGACATCAGACCGGTGAGTATACTCTAGTCGAAGCTGAAGATCCAACGGCGATGAAAAGTTTGAAAACTTATTGTTGTTTCAGAGCTTGTACGGAAGCGTTGTGGTCACGGGTGGAAATTCCTGCTTGCAAGGTTTCAGCGAAAGGCTGAATAGAGATTTAGGCAGCAAAACTCCTCCAGTGAGTAGACAATTTTTATCGAAAGCTTAGTCTGATTTAATTGAGATATTCGCGCAATACTGATTTAGCATTTACTTATTTTTCCAGAGCATGAGACTGAAAATAATTAGCGCGAATAGCCCCAGCGAGCGACGTTACGGTGCCTGGATCGGAGGATCGATTCTCAGCTCCCTTGGATCCTTTCAGCAGATGTGGCTGTCGCGACAGGAGTACGAGGAGTCGGGGAAACTCATACTGGAGCGATGCGCGTGATCGCGGGACCGCAGGCGAAATCAATCAAAATTAATCGTAGTTATCTTCACAAAGTGTCTACCCGTTTCTACCGTTTCTCCGTTACGCCGGAGGACAAGTGATATTTCACGCGACCTTTGACGCCGTGGGAGCCGTAACGTGAGAATACGAGCGACTGATATCAAAAAACTTCGTGAAACGTAAAGACTTACCGTTAGGAAAATTGTGGGTGCGAAATCTAGAGGACAAATTCGCGGATGTAATCATGAACGATATACGAGGTTGAAGCCACAAGTTTTGTACTTGGATTATATTAAGAAACGAAACACCGTTCCTAACCGATCGAATGACTGCTTATGTTAGAGTTGATTTGTGTCTTTATATTAAATAATTAAAAAAAAATCGTACGCTAAACAATAGCCATAAGTATGTAGTTTAAGGTAGTTCTTTCCCAACTGTACTAGTCAAAACAAAACTCAAATATAGAAAGTATTAATAACGATATATTTTCTGTAATAAAGTTCTTAAATTATTATTTGATTATGATTTTTATTAAAAAAAAAACGTAGTCCAACATAGTGCTTGTACAATCGAGTACGCGACGATTTCAAGATGCAAACCAAACAGACCAGTAACCTACCATAGGTTGCCGCGTGACAGGGGCACCTCTACGCCTACGAGATGACAACCGAACCGACGACAAACCGTCTACTACAAGGTTGCCGCATAGCAGGGGCATCCCTGCGCCTACTAGACGGCAACCGACACGACAAGCCGACTACTGTAGGTTGCCGCATCCCAGGGGCAGCCCAGCGCGTAGGAGATGGCAAACAGGCTTCAAAACTGGCTAACTTGGGTTAATATCTAACAAAGGCGTGCGTATCTAAATCGTGTCTGAATTTTACTCCTGGTATCAGAAGAACATGATATCCGAAGAGGTGGCACGTTTGCGCCTGCTGACAGGCAACCGGCCCGACAGATCTGTCAGTACAGGTTGCCCAATTCAAGGGGCTAATTTTCGGTACATTTCGGAATTCTGGCTAATTTTGCATTTTGGCAAAGTGAACAATGTTGCAAATCAATCGAATCAACCGAAACAACAAACAAGCTCATGATTGGTGCTACATAACAAGCGCACCTGTGCGCCTACGATGTAGTCACCATCCCTAAAAACTAGCTAGCATTGGTTGCCATCTACAGGGGCATGTTCCGCACTTTTTATGATCGAAAACTAGTACCCTCTGATACTCACGGTTAAGCTTCCGGTGTTTTCCGCTGGGTGGCAGCACTGAAATATTTCAAATTTTTAGCGGTTCTCTTTATTCCAGGAGTGCTAAAGTGCATACATTGTTTGCAAAAAATCAATAAACAATCGAATAATTTGAGTATCAAAGGGAGCTCACTGTAGAAACACTTATGGCAGATATATTATGGAATTACTTATAAAGATACAATGAGACGAATTGTTTTCAAACTTTCAGTATATTTTATTGATCACATAAACAAATATATATTGCTACATATATTATTTCTTTAATATTTATTTGCAGCAGGGGGTGCAATTGCCTGTTCGCACCCTTCCTGGGTAGAATCGTATCCCGTAACTTCTATTCTCGAACGCGTTAGGAACAGTTTCAATTCCACAACTTCCGACAAAGTCTCGTATATATATAAATACACACGCAAACTCGCATACATACTCACGCGCGCAGAATAAACGCAAACAACATTATTATCAGTATATCACAATACACGATACGCGTTCAAATAGCGGCAAATTATATTGTTAAAACCTCGAGGCTTTCCATTGTGCTTTATCACTGCCTGTAATTGTAATACTGTTACGTGCTCGAGTGATATTTCGACGAGGAATGTGTTCGACGTTTCGGGTACGGAAATGCTCGATGAGAATCATTCTTCAACGAAAGACTTCATCTATCCAAAAAAAAAAGACATGTAAAGAAAAAGAAACGTTTGTCTCTCCTAACGAAAAAGATATACATTTCATTGGAAACACCTACTATCGCGAGTTTAAATATAAATACTGGTGTCTATAAATTCCACTACGAACCGAACTGCGAACCGATCGAATTTAAACTTGCGAACACACATGCGTGCACGCGCCAGCACGTGCGCTCAGAATGCCTGGTCTAGCCAGTTACATTTTATTCGCAAGAACATCGGTGAACTGCATTTGTAATTGTTCACCTTATTTCGCAATTCAATTTCAAGTGAAGGATCAAACCTTCCAAACGAGAAATTCATCATCTCTAACATCCTTCTTACATCCTTCGTTTTCTGATTTTCCGACAATAATCGCATACTCTCTCTCTCTCTCTCTCTCTCTCTCTCTCTCTCTCTCTCTCTCTC